TAGATATTAATATAATATTATATAATATATAAAATTAGCTTTATAACGTATATTATATCGTTATAATAGCTATAAAACCTATCGAAATATCGTTAAATAACGATATATAGGAAATTAGTAGAATTTACCTTATATTAACCTATAATTAATATAGCATTATTTATAGCTATTATTTATAATACTATATAATTAATAAGTTATTATAATTGATTATTATGGCTATTATGGCCACTGGAATTTATTAGAATCTAGTAGAACGTTCTATTGGATCCAGCCCTATTAAGTATGGCTAGTATACCTGGCTATAGTGGCTTTGGGTTATAGGGTAACCTATATTATAGAAATCTATAAATTTTAATGGTTTTTTCGATTATAAATTAACCTTATTACTAATTAACTTAATTATAAATTTAGTTTATTAGTAATATATTTTAAAATGTTTTTATTAGTTAATTTTATAGGTATAAAAGGTAGTTATTCCTCCGTAATTAGTTATTTTTTTTTTAAGCTTTAATAAATTAGTTATATAGCCTTATAATTATTTTTACGGCCTAATTTTACGAATTATATAAACGCTTCCCTGTGCCTAAGTTTATAATCCACTAATTATACCTTAGAACATAATATTATATTAAAAAAACCCTAAATAAAAAATAACGATATAATATACTTATTTAAGAAAAAAATATTTAAATTTAGTATTAAAAAGCACGGTTTTTTTATTTATAAAAAAGGCTAATACGAAAATAAAATACCCGAATTAGTAAAAAATAAGACGTAATACGTAAAGAATATATAAATAATTATAGGTGCTATTTACGTAGCGGAAATGCGTAAAACGCGTAGGAATTTTAAAAAAATAATTAGAATTATTTAAATTTTTGCCGTTATAATAGCAAATATTAATTAAACGCTAAAAATTAAAGAAAAAACGACCTTTTCCAAAATAACCGATATATTACCTTTTTAGCTTAAATATTACGCTCCTTTATTTATAAATAATAAATAAACGGAGCTTTTATTTTATCGACCCGGAGCAAATTATACGATTACCTTATTTAAGGATAAATAAGGCAAAATTCGCGAAATTTTATAAAGCCCTTTATACGGTATATTTAAAAATAAATTATTTATTTTTAAGAAAATATTTACTAATTATTTAAATAAAAATTAAATTAGGGCTAATAGTTTTTCCGGAAAAGCCCCTATATTTTTTATAAAAAAACCCGGAGGAGGTTTTCGTTTTTACGTAAATTACTAAGCCTTAAATGTTATTATAAAAAAAACCGCTATTTTTTTCCTTTTATTAAGGAAATTTTACGCTTTTTTTTAAAAGCTAAATAGTTTATTAAAATTAATATTAGGGCCGCTTTTTATAAAATAAAAATTAAAGAAAAAAATAAATAAAAAACCGCTTTTCGCATTCGCTTTAGCTTATTCGAATAGCTAATAATGCTTTTTAGATTAACGGGAGCCTTAGCTATTTTTTAAAAATTTATTAATATTATATTATAAAAATATTTAAATAATTTTTGCTTTATTTATTTAAACGACGTTTTAATTTATTTTAATAGCGATTATACGGATTATATACTAAAAATAAATAAAATCCTTATTAAATTAAATAAAGCTAAGCTCCGCTTTAATAATAAAAAATGCAAATTCGCTATTATTTAAATTAAATATTTAAAATTTATTATTTATACCGGAAAAAAATTAAAATTAATTTTAAAAAAATAAAGGCTATTAAAAAATAAAAGGCTTTTATTAACGTAAAAAAAATTTATAATTTTATAGGCTTCGCGAATTTTCATAAAAAATTTATCTTTTAATTTAGCGATATTATAGGATTTTTATTAGCCTTATTTAAAAAATTAGCATTTTAAAAATAAAAATTAGCTAAAAAATATAGCTTTAAAATTTTTAAAAAGCTTTTTATTATTATATTTATTTTAGCGATATAAAACGAAAAGCGTAAAACGGTAATCGAATGCGATTATTTTAGCTAAGCCTTAAAAGGAGCCCTTTTATAAATCGATAATAAAAAAAGATTACGTTTTATAGCCTTTTTTTTAAACGATTAAACCTAGCCGAAATTAATTACGAAATTTATAATAAAAAGCTATTCGCGATCGTCCGCTGCTTAAAAAAATAAAAATAAAAAATAAAAAACTTAGCTAAACCTTTTAAAATCTTTACGGATTATAAAAATTTATAATATTTTATTATTAAAAGGAATTTAATTAAAAAATAAACTTAATAATTTTTAATTTTATCCGAGTTTAATTTTTAATTATAATTCCGTATAAAAAAGAAAAGCGGTAAACCTAATGCCTTTAGCCGTTTAAAGCAAAACCTCCCTAAAAGGGTCGATAACCCGAGATTAGAATTTCGCCGCTTATAATTCGTTAAAAACGAATAGCTTTTATTTATTATTATACTTTTCGAAAATGCTAAATATATTTAAGCATTAATTTATATAATGCCTTTATATTTTAAGTTTATAAAATAAAAATTATTAAATATAAAATAAAGCTATTAAATCCCCGAAAATAAAAATTTATTTTTTAAAGCTAAATTATAATTATTTTAAGATAAAGCTATAATATAAAATATTAATTTTATTAATTTATATTTCGCAATATAATTAAAAGCGTATATATTTCCGCCCGGGTTATTTAAAAAAAATATAATATTAGGATATTAATCGCGGAATATAAATTAAACCTTAAAAGCGCCTTTTTATTCTAAAAAAAATTATTTATCTTAAATTAAGAACCTTTTTAAATTATATTTATATAAAAAATTTACGATTTATCTATTATCGGCTACCTAAAAAAGGATAATATTTTTGCGATAATATTAAGGCATTTTTATTAGCCGGGAATATTTAAGGTAATACGGAGATTTTATATTAATTACGATATTTATAAACGCTTTAAAATTTAGCGCGAAAAAAAAAAGCGGCCTTTTGGCCTTTTTCCCTATATTAAACCGGTTTTATTTAGAATTTTTTATCGATTTTATAACGGAGCTTTTTGCGAAAAAAAAAAACCCTCGTTTTATAATAATAATCGTAAATCGTTTAGCAAAAATAATTATAATAAAAAGCATAAATATTATAAAAGCGTTTAATTACGCCCGGCGTTTTATTAATTATTATTAAAAATTTTACGGTTTCCTTTAAGCTATTGTTTTTAATAAAAAATCGAATTAAATAAGCGATTTTTAGGCTTATTTATGCAAAATCGTAAATATTAAAAAAAGGTTATTTATAGCCTTTTATTTAAAAATTAACGGTTCGATTAAGCGTATAAATTAAAAAATTTAATTATATTTTAAAGCTTTTATTTCGTACGCTTAATATAATTGGCCCGAATTTTTTTTTTTATTATGCTTGCTATTAATAACCGTAATACCTCGATCGGCGCTAATTTTTTTTTAACTTATAAATATTACGCCGAACCTATAAAATAAATACTCCCGTTATAAAAGTTTTTATAAAAAATAAATAAAAAGCAAGCTAAAAAATTCGTAAACCGATAAAAAAAAAAGCTAAAATTTAGCTTAAACTATAATAGCAGCTATATAATAAAAGATAGAAAATACGGCGAATAAAAATAAAAAGCTATAAAAACGATTTAAAGCTAAAAATTTAATATAGCTTAAGCTTAAAAATTTAAAAATATTATAAATATTTAAAAAGCTATTTTAAATTAATATAAAATATAAAATATATAAAATTATTAGCCTATAAATAATTAAGCTAAACGTATTTAGCAAAATCTAGCTATAATTTTACGTAAATTTGCTATAAAAAATAAATAAAAATCTTTTACCGTTATAAAAAAAGCAAAAATTAATAGCCGTTTTTAATATTTAATAAAAAACTTTTATAAAAAAAATAAATTATTAAAAAGATTTTTTATATAAAGCGGCATTTTATAAAAATAAAAATTTAAACGGAAATTATTAATAAAATAATAAAGTTACGTAAAACCTATTTAGCAAACCCGAACCGTATTCGATAATATATAAATTTTAGATAATTTTAAAGCCTAATTCGGCGTAAGTAATAAAATAAATAAAAAAAAAAGGGGCTAAAATAAGGCTTTTAATAAAAAAAAAATAAAAAGCTATTATTAAAATAGCTAAAAATAGGCAATTAGCAAGGGTTCGAAAAAAAAAAGCTAGCTAAAAAAAAAAGCTCGAAAATCCAATTAGCAAAATGCTTTTATTTTTCGTCGGAGTTTAAAATTAAATTTTTAATTTATTTATATTTTTTTATTTTTATTCGAAAAAGGTATTAGGAATTTTTTTATTTATTCGAAAAAAATACCGGTTATACGAAATAGCCGGTTACGCGCTTTTCGATATCGAGTTAATTAATTAAATACCTCCCGATAAAAGCTTTAATATCTTAAATATACCCGGATAGCGTTTTTTTTTATATTAAAAAAATAACGGCTTATTAATAATTATTAAAAACTTTACGTTTTAAATCTTTTATTCGTAATAAAAAATATATTATAATTAAAAAAATTTTAAGTTTTATAATAAAAACTACGGGAAAAAAGCATTATATAAAATAATTAGGGCATAAGCGGCTATTATAGCTTAGTAGTTAAAAGGGAAATTTTTAAAAATTTAGGGTTTAATTCCCTAAAAGGCCCGGAAAAGTGGTAATATTACGGGTATACCCGATTTTCGGCATTAAATATATAATTAATCCGGTGCCTAAATAAGTTACGATAAAATTTACGTATAGGAAATAGCTTCTTTTTACTTAAGCTAATTTATAAACTATATCTGGCTATAACTGCGTGACTGCACGCACTTAGTGAGCCTATCACAGGCTGTGGCATTTGACATCGACGTGTATCATAAGGAATTTATTCTTTGGAACACCGCCAGCATCAAAAGAAGCCTAGTCGCCCCTCTTCATATCAGGATCCAAGTCTACATTGTGTCAAGGTATCTATCGGGAACTCATCGCGGCTATGGCGTACTCGGCCTTAGAGCCACAGCACATAAGGGTGCTGAAGCTTGAGCCGAGCGCCGAGCGCGACGCCATAATCACCTGCTCGCTGTCTGTGATATCACTATCAGAGAACCCTACGCCGCAGTACGAAGCCCTCTCGTACGTCTGGGGCGACTTCACGGAACGGCATGAGATCCAACTGGATGGCCTTCCCACTCCCGTTACTATGAACCTTTGGACCGCACTTAGATACATCCGCTTACCGGATGCTCCTCGCACCCTTTGGATTGACGCAGTCTGCATCAATCAGTCCGACGTGCAGGAGCGCAATGCGCAAGTTCGCCAGATGGGCCGGATCTACAGCCAAGCTTCCCATGTGCTCATCTGGCTCGGGGACCCGGACCCGCAAATCGAGGACACCTTTTCCGCGCTCTCCGTTCCGGGGGCCCTGGACCAGAGACAGTACGAGGACTTTCCCCCAGAGATCGCAGATGGTTTACGCAAGATGCTCGCAAGGCCCTGGTGGCATCGCGTCTGGGTGCTACAGGAGCACGTTTTGGCGGACGCGGATCCTGCTGTGGGGTGCGGAGATTCATGGTTGGACTGGAAGGAGCTGTCGGGCGCGCTGTTGGATTTTGCGCGCAGTATGATGGATGCGAGTGGTACTACGATCGCCGACGACCAGACGACGTGGGTCCAGGATTCGACCATGCTCCTGCGCCATGTCCTGCTCAGGGAGCAGTGGAATGATCCTGGCTATCAAGGGGGGAGAGGGACGACTATTGCCGAGATTATAGAGAGAACGCGGGGCCGTCGAGCTACGGATAAGAGGGATCAGGTCTTTGCGGTCAGCGGTCTGCTGCGCGAGGAGGACAAGGCCATGTTCCCAGCGCCAGACTATGCAATGTCGGTCAATGAGGTCTACCAGATGGCAACGGTCGCCTTCATCCGGAGTAGCGCGAAACTTACGTTCTTGATCCATGCTACCGACAAAGGTGATGACGATCTGGAACTGCCGTCGTGGTGCGTCGACTTCTCCAAGAGGATGTGGGATTGGGGCGCGTATGGGAACCTGGGGGGTCACGACTTTGGGCACCGTAGAGAAAGCGAGGAAGAAATCCAAGAGTTCATGAATGTACTCTCGCATGATGCGTCTCTGGGTACATTGAACGTGCTAGGTGGCGTCCTCGGACAGGTCATCATGTCGAGGCCCCTTGTTCCGCCATCGGCTTTCGACCAGAGCGGAGTGACTGTGCAATTTGAAGGCGAGCCTCGACCCATGATGGAAGCTGGGGTTGGAAAGCTGCTCATGCTTACCGAGTTCGTCAAGGAAGTCCTCCGGATGACCACAATTTCTCACACGATTTGGGAGCAGCGGGACGGCGCACAGGCGGCAAAGGAGATGATAGCCGCTGGGCAGGTGTGGGAGACACTTTTTGGAGGAATACTGTTTAATATCGTCGATGCTGTTTGCATCCGCACCGGGATTGAGACGGTGGATGGAGACGATAGGCCGCGCGAATATTGGGTTATCGAGGCCTTCATTCGTAAGATCTGTCCCTGGTATGCCAATGCTATTGAAAAATTTGGTTTTCTACATCCGACACCCCAGCTCGCCGAGAGTGCCAGGTTGGAGAGAGCTCTGTGGGAGACGATGATGCTAACGACGCAGATCAATATTGGCAAATATTGGTTTGGGACTGACACGGGTTATATCGGGTGCGTCGATCGTGAGCTTGAGGCGAGTGATCAGTTGTGTACCATCCTTGGCTGCGAGGGGCCTTTCATTCTCAGGTCGACCAATGATGCTTTCAAGTTGATAGCCTTACCTCAGTCCAGAGATTTCGTACAGGACCATCATCGAACTCGCGTGCGCGAGGTGGAGAGGGAGGTCTTTACACTCCGTTGAAGGGAAACGAAGCGCCTTAAGCTCGCCAATTCCACCGAAGATACAAGATTTCAAAGTGATTAGCATTATTTAAACAAAACAGTATATCGCGACCTTCATCATACCAAGATGGACATGTTTATCCAAGGAAAAAGAGAAAAAAAAAAAAAAAAGTACTTTTTGATTTCCTTAGTAGACGTTACTCGCACTGGACTCGCCTGAACGGACTGATTAAGCAGAGCATTCTTTCCTCATATGATTGCAAGGTAGGTAATCGGCACAGCCACTGCAGAGGCACTCCTCCTTGCGCTTGAGCTTACCCCCGCCAGCCAGCTGCAACGCAAGCGGGACAACAAACATTGCACACATAACACCTCTCACCATCCTCACGTTTGTCAATCTGTACAAATAATAGGAAACTCATATCAGTATTAGATAGTATCAGAATTATCGTTCTCATTGTTCTGTCCAATTGAGCAAATCGCAAATTCAGCAATCATGGTAGTCATTCTATTCTGCACAGCTGAGGAGGCCAAGCCTGTAATTCTAACCTCCCACTTGCGCACGTGGGAATTCAACTAACCTCTCACAGCTCGTCCCAGCAATCATGTCATTTGAACAGGCCCAAGACACCTGGATCTTTGGCTTTGCCGAGTCGCGCGACGGCCTGGGTGCTGATGATGGCAACTTTAAAAATTGGATCGAAGACGGCGCGACCGTTGAAACAGATTTCATTGGTGCCTCTGAACAAGAATGCCAGTCATGGGCCCTGGAGCAGATGAATCGCCTACCCAACGTTAACGACGGGATGATTGCCATTGCGGATGAGCGCACTGCAAAGGATGACACGATTCTATTGCAACTCTACAATTCAAGCTCCGGCGATCTGACACCCGAGGGCGAAGGAGATTATGGTCTCGAATTCGAGGGCTATGGAAAGCTTCCAGCCAAGGAAAACACATGGTACAGCTTCAGGATCAGATACCAAGACTCATTCAATATTTATGCGGCTCTTTCCTATGGAGCTATCGATGTAGTCTACCCGGTTTATTTTGGGCGTACAGACGAGCTCGTGGATGACAACGGTGTGTTCAATGTCGAAAGGGCAGAAGCTCTCTGTGTTGAGTAAATGAAACGAAACATCTCGTTGAAGACATCGTCACTACGGTCGCAATAGATATCGTTTCCTCTATAATTAGTTGAAGCCAAGCAAAGAGACCACCAAGACGTATAGAGTCATTGGTGAATTACATCATGCACTTGATCAGCAAGCCTTTTGGCCACAGTAGACTTTACTGGCGCGCGTCAATCTGGTCGATAAAGACAGTGGTGTTCACTAACTCGATACATCACGCGAACAAGCGAACAGCACAAATCTCCGGCCAGCAGAGTCATTACCAACGCGCCTCAACCCTCCAAGATGTCTTTTCTTCTCCTTGTAGTCCCTAATCCTCATCGTCAGAATCTTCATCGTCACTCGCATCATCGAGTGCGTCCGACTCTGTTTTGCTTGCGTCCTCTGCATCAGTCACAGCCCCCTCCTCCCCTTCTGGTGCCTTGACAGCGCTCGTAGGCACAAAAATTGCCCATTCACCATTCATGTCGGCAACTTTGAGGGCGACCTCATTCTCTTCAGCCTCAAATTCCAGCTCGCCGAGGCCTTCAGTGACAAACTGGCCGGTGGCGGCATCAAACTTTCCCACTGTTGCTTGGGAGACATCAACTGCATTGGAAGATGCCTCGCCAAAAATGTAGTCGACTTGATGAATGTCTCCTGCCGCGGGCGGCGTCGCGGTGGCAATGGTAAAAGTCAGAGGGTCGACATACATGAGACCAGCCGGGGGAGCGATCGATGCCATTTTGGGCGCCACCGTGATGGTGTTGGCTGCAGTGCCATTATACTCGGCTTCGATTGCGCCGGCAGCCTACCGCATGACTGTTAGAAGAGGTCCAATTCTGGAGCTTACGCGTGCACTATACACGGATACTTACATTAGCAGGTAATTTCATCTTGGTAAAGAGATTGCCACCTTGGACGGGATTTGCAGAACCAAAGACACCAACAGTCCTGACCACCCCTTCCTTGAACTCCTCTCCGACTGCCAAGACTTGAGCAGCCGTCCGGTTTGTAGTAGTGGCTTCTCCTGCTTTTGCCTCGGAGGCTGTGGCTGCTTCGCTTCTCTTTATTACACTCAGGTCAAGAATTGGAATCGCCAGATCGCGATGGACAGCATCGTGATGCGTCAGCGCTGTGGGAAAAGACAAGACAGGCAATGCCTGATATAGGAAGATGACCAGCAAAGAAGAGTACATTATGCTAAGCTTATCGGAAAAAGAAGAAGAGATGAATTAAAGCGGGCTTGTAAGAAACAATGACAAGAATTGGACGGCACAGCCGGAATGATTGAATATATTGGTTAAAAGTCGTTCAAGTACCAATGCACCGCACTGAATAGAAGAGAAATCGAATCCTACTGGCCATTCAACCCAGACCGAAAGGGCATACCCACGTAGACTTATAGACAATTTTGATGTACCACGATTTTGAAAGCGCTCGACTCGTGTTACATACCTGCTGAGAGCGAGTAGCAAAATATCATCTTACACCTAACATCATCAACGGGCAACCTGCCGGACAGTACGTCTCGGCGTTCCATCTCCTCGTTGTCCAAACCGCATCCTTACTATGCCTGCCGGCTGTCATCCTATCACTTGTGGTTCACACAGACTTCGCCCACCGTGTTTGTATCACTTGTGGCCATGTCAACCCATACTCAAACAGCCAAGTCGTCTCTCAAGGCTGCAGGCGGCTGTGTACCAAGCAAGAGAAAAGCCTTGCGAGCCTGGCGAGGCCTAGTAGTCATATAAGCGTGACGCGGTGCACCCTACACCACCAAGAGCCAAGAGTTACAAGACGGACTTGGCAGAGGTCGAGGTGAGTAGATGGTCAGTCTGTATAGTCGTGCCGAGCTGCCGAGGCCCCTGTTCAGAGTGGATTCATCCTCTTGACAAAGAATTGTGTCGCGTGCCCTCATGCCCAATTGGTCTTGGGGCACGTCCGATGAAACAAGAAAAGGGCCCATCTGGGTGGACGTGGGGTAAGTAAATCCATGGCATGCAAGGGTCAAGCCGAGTCCCATAAATCCCACTCGAGGTCGCCATAAAAGGTGTGAGGTTATGACCTTCAATCAGGTAAATTGAAAATGACAAAGTTTGCCAAGAGATTAAAACTCTACTACATTCGTTCCAAAACAATGTATATTCGGTCGTTTCAATATGTCATGTTCGTGAGTATGCGAGTGGATATTCTCTGTCGGATAAGGCATAGTGTCTTGATGGTTGTATCTGCAAAGTTTGAGAGTAGGGAAGAAGAAACAGTGAAGCAACAAGAGAATCGATAGCAATCAGACAATGGTAATCAAGAATCTTTTCTCTGGGTGTTCCGGGTGATGTAGCATTTCAGCACAGACAGTCTCTGCCGTGATTGCCCCAACTTGGTTGAAAATTTTTAGAAAGGGCTGGAGATACTCGTTTATGCGTGCCCGTTCGAATGAAGCGTTTTCGAAAAATTTGAATGATCCGATCCTGCAAAACTCTCCAAGACCTGCGGCAGTCTTGCGAAGAACAAGACCAGATATATACTTCTCATCAACCCAATCCCCCTTGTGTTTTCTTATGCTAATCCCAGTCCGTCCTCCAGCAAGAGGCAAGAGGTACACGGACTTCCCATGAAGACTGCGTGAGTCATTGATGCAGTCGACACGAATAGGAAACTCCGTGTCGTGATCGTTATAGTTGATGACCACTGAATCAATGGCCTCAGGAATATCCGAAGCTACTGTTGTCTGGTCGCAGAGGCGGCCAAGGACAAGGCCGGAACAACGCATATGAAGCATTGTGCGAATAGACTGCCCAAAATCTCGATTCTCCGAGTGAGTGATCCCCAGCTCACAGACATGGCCGTATCTTTCTGGTTTTGACATGTCGTCATTGGGCTCGTCATGTTTGTCCGCGTCATTGTATTCCACACCTCCATCAATGGACGCCCACGACCAACTTGGGGCGATCCAGTCGCGATCTTGATGGTTTGCTCTATGATGAGTGACTCGAGGGCCAGCGACTCTCCAACACAGATGTAGTTCAATGTCCTTTCTCCAAATTCCGGAAAGATATTCGTCTCCTGTCTGATTGAACACGGCTCGAGCGATTCCGGCTAGGGCTCGTAGCTTGTCGCGTCGATATGTCAGATTTGCCGCTGAGTAGGCCATGACAACCTTGAGCCAGAAGAACGGCTTAGTCATGTCTGCATCACACACAAGACTGGCTATGTCGCTTCGGATATTTTCTTGGAGGCATAGCGGTGCAAATCCCTTCCTACATTCCCAGAGTACACCTCGATCCCCAAAGTGGATTGTCCGAGGTGGCAACACTTTCTCTTGTATTGCCCAAGCGCGAGTCATCAAATGGGCACCCAAGACTGATCTTTTATAAAAGTCATAATTGTCGAATTGCATCCGTTCTTGTCTGCCATTGATTGCCACTTTGTTGGAGAAGCCGTCGCAAAATAAAGCGGGAGTAAGAAAGCATCCTTGATGTACGTCTGTCGCCGAGGAAGCGGATATGGTGACGTACGAAGAGCTGTAGACTTGCTGCATCTTTTCCGCCTCTTTTTCCCAATCGCTCTCATCATTCTGGACAATACACAAAGAATCTATCCAGATGAAGTCAATCGCAAGTCGCGATGCAATCTCAAAAGCAGCCTGAAATGTTTTGGGGATATCTGCTGTTGGGATGCCTTTCTTGAAAGCCTCAATATTGTCAGTTCTTAGCTGGATGAAGGCTCTTTCTCCCCAACAGTAGCTCAATGTTGCATATCGTAGTTGCGATGAAGGCTGGCCCATGTCTTTTGTGATTATCAATCGCGGCTGTCCTCCAACCAGCGAAACAAGTCGTGTTGGTAGATACGTTTCAGCAAGAGTATTACAACAATCATGGTCAGCACAACATTCGAGCAACCATTTGTTCGCCTGGTCAAATAGTTCCAGTGGCTGATCAGCATGATTCTCTGGCGAGGATTAGCAGCGTGCGGAGACGCATCAGTGTCCATGTTACGTAGCTTACCTGAATCATTAATCGGCGTGCTTCTGCTTCTGAACGTGGAGCGTGCACTTTCAGAATTGCATTCCATCGAGATCTTGTTCGGTAAATCCAGCCATAGACTAAAGGCTCCTCTGATCCACATGGTTCCAATTGAAAGAGAGATTGTACTGGGCTCTCCTAATCGACGCAGACGAGATTCGATTTTGCGAAACATGGTGAGCAAATCATCGTCTTTGAGTGCCTGTAACAGGAATGCACAAAACTTGCACCCCATTCGCGTAGATGCCTCGATCTTTATCGTATTACAAGATCTTGCAATGACATACTTCCACCGGCTGTCATGTTCTCCCAAGGATTCGTCCGAGACACTCGACGCATTGACCTCTGCTTCCGAGTAATAATCCAAGGGCCACTCATCGAAAATATGCCAACATTGCTTGCAGAATCCATTCTTCACTTGTATGCTGGGCATAACTTCTTTTATGCTTCGTTCAAGGGAGCTCGTGTCAAGATCATCAGCGAGCACTGTTTGGAGCAGAGGGGAGCATTCCGAAAGAAACTCCACATTGGATTTCAGGTACTCATTGTACCACTGACGGAGAGACTCTATGTCCATGGCCATGTTGACTCATCAAGGTAGCTCTGATAAGGCTCGCTTGATGCGTATGAAATAACTGGACGTCGTGATGCTTAGCTCAACGGGGCCGTCTTGAGATTGATTCGCTGAGAAGCCAAATGCAACGCAAGGGACAGACGTCGGTCGATATTTGAGTTGTACTCACTTGTGATCAGAGAGATGAATTGCGGAGAACCCTGGACCAGTTAGAAGGTGGGTATTTTCTGACAGCCCGTCAGCTGCAGTGCGGTCGCAGTTTAAATTGCGGAGTGGTAAGTACACAGTGCTTCGTAAAGTGATCGCGCGGATTGGCTCCAGTATTTCTGGCCAGAGGTCCTTGATTGTTCATCTTGGCCGACCAGCAGATTTGTATTCATATTCAATTTGATTTGGTAAAATGACTCCTTTAAATTAAGCCCCGAGGGCCCTGGAGGAGAATAGATATAGAGTATCATGACGACGACTCAATGTTCAGACGTGGTGCTCTCAACCCAACCGAATGCTCTGATAGGCGATCCGTCACAGCCGCGAACTTTCAACGGTGCAAGACAGACCATGGCCATCGAAGCCTCTCCTGACGCCTGTTGCGCATCCAGCAACTCTTTGAGATTTGTGAGATTTTCGGCAATAACCTTGCCAGCTCCAAGAACTATATCGTGCACATCAAAAACCGCACTCCCGTCGTCGGTGACAGTGGGATCCGGGTTCATGGTATCGACGCCCAAAACAGCAACTCCGAGCTCCACCAGGCGCTCAGCGACCCCGCGTTCAACGTGCGGGTGCTGAAAATACCGCTCGCTCTGGTCCGCGCCAAAGTACCGATCCCAGCCCGTGCGAAAGAGCACCGCCATGCCCTCCTTGATGTGCGCCTCGTGAGGGCCAAGATCTGTCAGGCTGATCGAGCCCCCGGCTACAGCCTTGTGCGATACATCAATGATGCGAGCGGGCAGCCGGGTAAGGGCCTCGAGAGGGATTGCATCGACCGTCACGGCGCCGTCGATACGGTGCGACGGCGCGTCAATGTGGGTTCCCACATGGGAAGAAAAGGTGAGTTCGCTGACAGCCCAGCCAGAATCCTTGACGGCGCAGGCTTGGCGACAGTGGAAGGTTGGGTCGCCGGGATAGACGGGCACATTCGAGTCCAGAGGGTGCGTCAAGTCTATAATCGGATGAATAGAGGGTGGCATGGCTCAAATAAAGAGGAGCGCAATGATGCTGACATGGCAAGGTTGAGTATACAAAGGATGGATAGCAGTGAATAATAATCGACACAAGTTGGTCTGCCCTTGATTTGTCCATCTCGACGGCTTAATGCCAAGCTAGTTTGTTTCCTCTAGGCACTAGGACCTAACCTTAGGTAGGTGCTATGGAGCATTGCTCTTAGATAGTGGCTTACTCAAGTGATGGTTCGGCCTGTACGCGATCTAGAAAACCAGTCGGCTCTAGATAAATCGACCCCTGCATCTCATTCACATGTAGCGAACTCTTGATATGCATTATAAGGTACCGATTAATGTTTTCGCAAAGCATCAGTCCTCCTCCTCCTTGGAAATGTAACCCTTCCATGGGAATGTAGAAAGGAATCCTAACAAAGCCCTCACTATACATCCCAAGACGCCATTCCCTCCTCCCGAGCACGCACGAAAATGGCAAAGACTTCTTCATTTCACTCAAAACGGCTTGAAGGCGTATTTTGGCTTGCAATCAGCCGGTAGATAAAAGCGGTGGAATAAACCCGTATGTTCAGCACTCGGGTTAGGGTAAGCAGGTGAGGGTTAGCGGAGGCTGGACAGGGTTTAAGCTGGCCTCGGTCTAGATGTATTATTTCACGAGTGACCCAAATCACTTGCATACAAGAATCCTGGTGATCATCGCACGCTTAATTGCTAATATTTCTCGATGTAAAGACATTCTGCATCTGCTTATACCCATGAGGTGTTGACCATGAAGCATGAACCCAATGGGCGGTGATCTAGAGCCAAGCAATAGCCTAGGTAAGAAGCTTACTGATCAATATGATGGCTTGCCTTGATCCTATGATTTTCTTGTAAGTCCTGCGCATTTTTAATGCTAGTATTTAACGAGTCGCTGGGAAAATACCCGGTTGCACTCAGTGCTGTGCTTGCTCAAGTCTGAATAGATGGCTTACTCAAAATCGGCAGACGACCATGTGTACTTTGTACATGTGGAGACGATCCCGCCGATCGCCAAGGGATGGGTTCCGTTTTGAGCAATGTTTGTTTGCGCATAGTCCATGTTGGTCATTTCTTGCATGTTGCATGTTGCATGGCAACTTGGCATATCCAAATGCAGTCTATATACCTACACGATCCACTAATAATCCTGGGCAATACCCGCACGTGCTGCAAGAGTCTGAAGTGTCATTGAGGATAGACACTGAGACAATCGAGCAGCAGGAGCAGTAGTGGACTCTGCAACCCGAGCTAGTACAGCCAGACGCAACCGACGTCAACATGACGACTTGGCATGCGGGACTATCCGCTGCGCCTCGGGCTAAAGATCTCAGCCCTAAGCTGGCAACCACCAAAGTATCCCAGCTGAATGGACAATCATGGCCAGAACAACAAAAGCGCATGGATTTCGTGGCGTTAGTATTGCATTCAAGATATTTCTTGGAGTTTCACCAAAAGCCATAAGTTCGGGAGAAGAAGAAAAGAGAAGCTGGATGGTTACCATGGAAGAGTCAAGCGCCAGGAAATGCAAGATCCCGTGTGTCGCACGTCACAGATGGACGGGAACTTGGAAAATGCGTAAGCATCGTGTCGGGTTGGTCCACGTAGCACTTTGTCCGTCACACAGCCTCAGTACCTTCTGTACCCCCCAAGAGGCATATCGCAAGTTCTATCGGATGGGTGGTAGTAAGATTGCCCCCTCAAATGCACACGGCATAAAACCGACTTCAATCAACGTCTCCATATTAGCGTCCTGCCCGCAGGCTGAATTTCCCATAAGCGATCGTCGATGTGCGCACAAAACTACATGAGCCATCAGATCATGATCAAATCACCCATAAAGAAAAGCCATTCAACCATCATGGTACCGCCGAGCCTAGCCTGCTCTAGGTAGCCCCCAAAATAGTTTTGGATGTATGACAGAAGCTTGGCTAATGTAAATGCAGGCAGGCTCAGATTCGCTAGACAGTCGTTTCTACCTAAACCGAACCTTCGTGTGGCTCCCAGGTTACAGGTTTCCCGTAACTGCAGGGGCCGTATGTCCCCGGGTCCATATAGCCAAAAATGCCATTTCCTTGGATTCTGCGTGGGAAACATGGACAATTTTCCCTTTCCCTTTCTCCTTCACAAATCAGCTTGCATAGTAGTGCTTGATGCTTTTTTTTAAGTTTTTGCAACCATGCTGCAACATATTCCGGCGAGAACGGTGAAAATACTCGTTATTGCCTTACTAATTAGCACCTTGCTTGTTATTATTCAACAAACTGGACAAGCCGATCGAATCTTGCACAGTACAATAGGTACTTCCAGCTCAGGTAGCTCAGAAAAACAGAAGCCCAAGCCGCACTACAAACCAAAAGAAGTCGCTGTACCGCCTCCGATTCGAGATCCCTTTCCCTTACTTGCCAATACTCAGCAACCTCTACCACCCATACCACAGTACAACGTCCCGAGAAAGGATCTATACAAAGAATATGGCTTGGGAATTGCGCCGCCGCTGCTCATAGGATTCACCCGCTCCTGGCCGATGCTATTGCAGACTGTGGTCTCATACATAACAGCGGGATGGCCGGCCGAGCAAATCTACGTCGTCGAGAACACTGGTGTACATCGCGCGAATAAGCACGACCAATTGACATTGCAACACCCTCGATATCTCAATCACACGAGTCTCCAGCGGCTCGGTGTAAACATCATACAGACTCCTGTATTGCTCACCTTTGCTCAACTGCAAAACTTTTACCTATCCATTTCGCAGGACATGGACTGGCCGTATTACTTTTGGTCGCACATGGACGTCTTGGCATTATCGCATGAAAACGGATTCGAAAACCTCACGGTGCGAGCTGGTGAAGAAGGATACAAGACTGTTTACGCCTTGTGCCTTGAAGCGCTCCGAGAAACGCTCGACAATGACCATCGATGGGGAGCTCGACTATTCGCCTATGATCACCTGACGCTACAGAACCCGAAAGCTTTGGAAGATGTGGGCGGTTGGGACACTTTGATACCCTTTTACATGACCGACTGCGACATGTACAGCCGGTTCGCCATGAGGAATTGGACACAGGAGGACCGCAACGCGGGCGTCATTACTGATACAGCATCACATCTCCACGATCTCGTTGCACTCTACCATGACCCTAGCGTAGTTCCGGCGATGGAGGATCCCAACCCCATGGTGGAAGTGGCGGAACCAAGACAGACGAAACGCGACCAGCTCTCGTCGTCATCGGCATCCCTCAGCCTGGATGAAAATATCGAGTACTGGAAAGCCCTCCTCCAGACCAGCGACCACATGTTCCACCACAAACACGGTGGACGCGGCCGCAACACGTGGCAGGACGGGCAGCGTGGAGGCTATGGAGAGCCTTACTATTACGACGCGGCTGGATTCACAGAGGCGCTCGAAGTACTCACGGAAGCGGGCAAGGAAGTATACAGGCGGAAATGGGGACACCAAAACTGTGACTTGATAGGTGGAGGTGGCTTACGGTTTGAGGACCAGTGGCTTGTCGAGAAGGATTACTAGAGAAAGTGTCTATGGTGTGGGCGTGGGAATTCTCGTCCTTCTCTTCTTTTTCCCTGTACAATGGCTTCGTAATGATGACGCGCTCAGCGAGACTTTTTTTTGTTTAGATGGCTCCGTTTTACTCTAGATTATATCCAAGTTTCCTACTACTATTATCCTAGGCTTTCTTGGCAGTTGCTCTAATTTGTCAATCTTGGAAGCTTTCGGTAAGGTCGTGCCGGTTGCCGTGTTTCTGGCCGCTTCCTGCGCTACGGGACACTAGATCATCTGTGGACAGGTTCCGAGTCCCAATCTCCACACGCGATAAATATGTCCATTGTCAGCGGTAGTTTTGCTCCGCCTCCCTTGTGCTACCCCAAAACTCGAGTGGGTCGAGGTGACATTTTGAGACACCAAAGTCAATACATGGGTATCTAGTAGAATGAGAATGGCAATTCAGTGAAAGTTGCATACAGATTTAGTGCCATTTTTTATCTCTTCCTCGAAGGTGTCGAATATTTGGCTCAAATGAAATGACCAGGCTCTCTGACAGCGTGATTTTATCCCAATTGATGTTTCCTCTTTAGTTTCAAGCATTTTCATATTTGCTTTTTCTTATATATCGACTTTTGGCCACCATTTCTTTGTATTGCCGCACAGATAGCGTTTTCATCATATAGTGGATCAGTGTAGTCTTGATGGGAATAAAATGCTAAAGTGTGCCAAAGAGGACTATCCGAACAAGGCCTGGCGCTATGTTAAGTAGGATGTGGGTAAAATATTCCAGACACCAATCGTTCGCCAAGCTTTGAACTCATTTCCAATATAATCCAATTATATGGCAACACCTATTCTACTCACAGTGGCTGCCGCGGAAAATTAAAGGTTCGCGATTTTAACTGTACAGGATAACCTGCTCTTCGATCTACACCCCCGAAACTTGCCAATCCCGCTGTCACCAGGTCCCAGCCTCGGACCTGGTTGCGACGTCCTAATCAAGGCGAATAGATGGTTGCCACCGATGTGACAATTATGTTATTGGGCTATTATGTAGCAGAGTAAATGGATCCTGACCACTACTCACCTCGACACCGAGTCTTTTCACTAGTACAACTCACTGAACGTTGACAAGACTCGTGACAAATTATCTCAAGGACAGCACTTGGCCCAGAAGTCAAAGAAGGCAAGAAAGAAGACAGAGAGAGAGAGAGAGAGAATATCGAGGAAGCTTCTTTGAAGAGGAACGCGAAGCTCATCAAGAAGCCGTAAAGCTAACGATATTGGCAGGAGCAATTGATGGTCGAGAAGGAATCAACAGCAAGTACGAACCCAAGCTCGTCATTGGCATCGTACACGTACACGCAGTAACTCGGAGGGAACGAGTGGTTCGATACTGAATCCTCACACTTTCCATCCGAGGATCAAATGTGAGCCTACCCTTCTATTTAAACCAGCCTCTTCCCCCTCTTTGTGTTTTTCTGATCTTTCCACTTCCATACTCCCTGACCCAAAGGTCAATACCATAGCATCTTTCACCTCTTGGCTATCCCCTCACTTTCATTAAGTGTATTCAAAACATCAAAGCAACAACGGATTTCACCCTTTGGCTCTCCCCTCACTCCCATCAAGGCTAGGGGTTTCTAGGATAGATATCCACCGCTCTTTAATCAACCCAGATGCGCTTCCTCCCGAATCAGAGGGTCACAACCAACTATATATCTGCTTCTTCCACCAAGGCTCACGGGGGTCAGACGTAAAACGATCTCGTGCCCGTCTCTCCACCCATAAACTAGATTCCATTTAAGGGTTAAAGCGAAAAACAAAGAAGGAACCCTAGAATAAAACTTATCCCTCGTCTAATTTCGGATCCAATTCTCGTGTGACATACTCGCAACCCCTTTAGCCGTTTATTGCACCAGCTCATCTACCAACCCACTCCGAGATTATCTACCAGTTATTTCCCGGGCTTCCACACCAGCAGATCTCTTCTTCAAGCCCTCAACCAGATCGTCCACCATTCTAGGACCTGGTCTTTGTCCAACGCCAAGGAAACGATAATTGTACGCATTTAGGGTGGATAATGGTTGGAGTGCGAATGCCTAACAGGATAAAATTGGTTATATTCTCGCGGGGCATTATAGGAATTGGATTTCTTTATTTATACGTATAACGAATTAAATTTTTTAATGGAAATTCTTTTTATTTCTAAGCTTTTTCGTGAGATTCTTTTCTTATTTAAAGTAATAACCATAATGATCGCGCCCTCTTCGCGGTGTCGGAATATTAACTCACCCCTTACGAGTAGAATTTTGGTTTACTTTTCTAATATCGGCTATTAAAACAGCGCGTTAGCAACAGACTCTCGCTGCTAATCAGGGCCTGTTGACTCAGTGCAGCCAGCTCATTGTTTTGGTTTCGCCACGATGTAAGTGACATCGTTCCTCACTGTGGCTAGATATATCAGATGGCGGTCATTGCACCATACTATGGATCCTTTTATGTCACATGGGGATAAAATAATGCGGCTATGATTTGACTAGTGCCTGTGGCCTTCTCCGGGCACTGTCTAGTACTAGAATTGAGAGTCGCAGAGGTACAATGGAATCGCATTGCCCAATGATCATATTTCTCTATGCCGGTATGATATGCCAAGTTATGACCAAGATTATTGCGACTATTTCGGTTTTAATTTTGATTCTCAAAGACTCTACTTGAAGCGTTGATCTCGGTATTCTTTAAAGGTATCATAACCTTAACCTTCTCGAAGATGGTGGTCATAATGTGACCCTCGTTTGATTTATTTTATATTGAAACATGTTGAAGAGATAACTTATCGCTCATACCTACTGCTCACCATAATATCTTCTTTCTTTTATGAATAAGTTTTCGGATATCTCAAAGTCGATATTCACTACGCTGCACCAAAACTGCGGCGCAGAGCTTGGCCGTGAAGGTTCACACTCCATATTCAACCTTCTGCGCACATAATCAAGAAGAGTGGCCTGAATTTTGTTACGTGAATTCTTTAAAAATAATTATTATAATATGTTTATTTCGACTGCAGCCGTCTTTAATTTACCATTTCCCGGTTATTTTTCAAATGTAGCCGCGCCCGGAACCGGACCCAAAGATACTCAAACTCGGGCCGAAGGTCGCACGCCGGCAACATATTACACATTGCCTTGCACCTCTCATACAATGTTGTTATTGCCTTTTCTCTTATAGACGCACGAGTCAGTGTAATGCTGTCAAATATAGGGTCATCTCAGTCGCTGACATTGAGTATTAAGATCTATATCATATAGCATCTTCTTCAAACCAGACATCTAATGAGTATAAATAATCAATACAAGCCCTCAACCAAATTGCCGTTCTGAGTTTGCTTGGCATAAATGGTTGCGCGATTCGTGTATTTCTTGGCGCGGTGGTGGTCTCTTTAGACTACGCCCATGACTCCGATGGGACGGGAGTGACCGAGCCGAATCATACGTTCTTACTAAGCAATGTTAGAATGACCCAAGGCTTATCTATCGTCTCTTGGATACTTCCTATGTTGGGGGCACATGGATGGAGAAGCGCTCAAACTACTGCGTAGAGGGGGTGTGGGCTAGAGGGTGTGGGGACGCAGTCTGGCAGTTGACTGCCCCTAATGGCCGTTCTTATGATCCAGTCGCGCGTAGTCCTTGTACACCTGATAGACCCTCCCGTCAGAGGCACTCCAGTCACGACGGAATATTCTCAGATGCAACCCATCAAGCTACCGAATATACCTGGATTTGACGATGTGACGATAGACTATCAATCCCTCCAGCGCCCTGAAATAGTGCTCAAGGTTCACTCGCGTGGCGTCTTACGCTAGCAATAATTCACTCTTACTTACCGCTCGTGATGTGGTTAACAACATGCAGAATGGCGATTTCTGAGAACTCAAGATGGGAAATAAAATTCGGCTCTTGCCAGTCACTACGTTATTTCGGAATACAATCACAAATACAACGATATTGACCCTGACTAAGATGGGATGCTGGCTATCGTCTTGGCGCTTATGACTACCATCACAGCTCATTATGGATCCAAGTGATCATGAGTATGTGATCAAGAATACGCCAAACATTTCCGAATGGAGACGGCTATAAAGATCAAGGCACTTTCTTTGGCCTCGATAAGACGAGATCTAAACGTGTTCCATCACTGGCTCAGCATCTATACACTCTTTAGTATACCAGTTCTCAATATGCAACTACCTATCTTGTCCACGCTTTTGGCCCTGCATTTGGCAGTTGCCAATGGAGCATTGAGTAAACCGGCACTGTGGCCAAATCTCGGCAAGTTTTCGCCAGATCTAACCGCCGGCTTACCCATGCCCGGGTACCAGGTTACCCAATGGCCGGCAGGCACGATTTCTCAGGGATGCCTCTACATAGCCGACAGAGATGGCCAGGACCCTGCGTTCTTTCGTGCATATTCTGTCCTACTCAACGATGTAAGCCGAAAGCTGCGTATGATGTAGACTCGTCTCATGTTGCGTCAAAAGATTGCTGATGGAGAGAGTATATGACAGTGTTCTCAGTCGTGGAACTTTTGCATCCAAGATGGCTCCAAGCAGTCCATAGACGATTTGGCGTTTGCCTTTGGCCAGGCTCCCATACGGTTGCGACAATATACTTCCGAGGTCGTCATGCAGTCGCAAGGTGGCGGTGCCAATGCCCAGAACCAGATCATCACCTTATACCAGCCGGCGACGGTCCAGTTGTTCCTTCATGAAATGTCGCATTGCGCCGATAGTGCTGGCGGTTATAAAACTCCCTCTAGCTCTGGTAGGCTCCTGGGTTGGATTGTGTACCAGACCCGGTGTGCTGACGATACGTGTAGCAAGCACTGCATGGTCGAGCTCATACGATCTGGATTCAGCGGTTCCAGACACGTATGCTCAGACAAATCAACAAGAGGTAATTGGCGCCCATTTTCCAGCTACAAGATCCAAACGCGTGGTGCACGTTAGTACTGACATAGGATATCGCAGAACTTTGCGCAGTTTGGCGGCCTCATTGTCTACGACCGACTCACTGGCGGCAAGCTCCGAGACGAGCCCAATCTGTGGGAGATTGGCCACCAGCTCAACACCATGGTCGACGAGGGCGACAATGGCCAGCACGGAGGCAGAATGTATGATTTTGATAGTGGCTTGATCTGCTCGGGACGGTACGCCAACTCGCCACCAGTCACTATGGGATCATTTGTACAATCTGTGGACGACAAGTCGCAGCTTGACTTCATTGCTAGTTTCGATTTGGACAAGCAGGTTGCTTTCGGTTCTGCAAATGGTATCACTGTTGAGACGTTGATTCCAGAGACGGGTGCGCCAACACAATGTTTTGACGTTTGACCGAGTAGATAGTTGCTGGAAAGTAAGGTTTTAGATATTATATCTACCTTTGAATCTTATTCGAAAAATTATATACAGCCATGACCATTGTACGTGGTCATGATCGAATTAAATAGTATCAGAATATTTAGCACTGGCCTCCAACGGCAATGACCTCGGATGCGCCCAGAGTGCCGTTCAGGCTGTATGCGTCAGCACGAACATACGAAACACCGGCGGGAAGGACGGCAGACGTCTCAAAGCCGGTTCGGGCAGCCTCGGCGGCGAGAGTCAGGTTGAACTTGGAAGCACCGGCGTAGACCTTCCACGAGGTATACTCGGTGGCGCCGTTCCAGCTCATGTAGACGGACGTCTGGTTGCTCTCGTCGCTGCATGCCACAGCCTTGGGCGAGGTGGTGGGCTTGCCGACCCAGGGCAGGCGGTAGGCACGGTAAGAGAAGACGGTGCCCTCGCTCGGGCCAAACTTGACCGACATGGCCACGGAGCCGTCGGGGTTGTACTCCTTGATGCGAGGCGTCGAGCCGTAGCCCATGATGACATGGCCATCGTCGAGCAGCTGCACGTTACCCTGGGAGTGGGAGTAGATGGCGTCCTCGGGGTCAGTGAGCTCCTGGAGCAAGGTAGCAGTCCAGTTCTCGACGTCGACCTGCATGAAGATACCAGTGGTCTGATTGACGCCGTAGAAGTCGGCATTGTTGTCGTTGTTGAACAAGCTCATGGTGTACTGGCTTCCTTCGATGGCGTGGATACGAATGTCGTGCTGGTAGCAGAAGTCGAGTCCCTCACCGAGAGTAAAGTTACCACCGTGACGTCCCTACAAAGCGTTAGTCTCAAGTCACAGAGATGAAGAGGTAAGCTACACGTACATTGAGCGTCCAGGCGACCGAACCGTCGGGGTTGATCATGAAAATCGAGCAGTACTGTCTCGACGAGATGAGGTAGGAACCATCGTCAAGCTTGTTGACAGTGTTGATGTGGAAGGGGCCCCAGGGGTAGGTCTGGTTCGTGCCAAGGTAGTCCAGGGGGTAAGTCTCGACGGCATCAGCCAGGGGGATCTGGTCCTTGTGGTCCGAAGCGAACCATTCAAAGAGGACCTCATCCGTCTTGACGTCAATCTCGAAGAAACCGCTGTCGACAATCCAGCCGTCCTTGGGGCCTCCGGCAGAGGTCAGATCGGCTGGCGTGACGTTGTACGCCGTGGTCAGCATGGTGCCCTCGGACGTGATGAGGTCCTCGTGCATGTCGAGCCACGATTCGAAGCCACTAGTGTCGGCAATGTCGATGGTCACGAAGTGAGTGCCAGGAACCGAGACGTTGTAGATGTTGTCATACTGGTCATTGTGGACCTTGACAAGACCGTAGCCCCATCCCCAAGGCTCAGACCAAGTGACACCTTCAAAGTAGGTCAGGACGGGCTTGCCCTCAAAGGTCTGAGCCTTGAAGGCAGAGTAATCTCCGTAGCCTCCCTGCCAGACGAGGTCTCCATCATCAGTCATGATGAAGCAGCTGTAGTTGTGTCCATAGTTGCCATTCTGGTCAAAGAAGAGGTAGCCCGGGGAGACGGGACCATTCTTGGTGATCTCCAGCGCAGGCGGCTGCAGACTGGGCTCAGACTTGTAAGTCTGCCATGGCCAGTAAGTGTCATTGTCTGCTGCTCTGACGGGAATTACCCCGAAGAGCGAGACTAGCGACGCAGCGGAGACAATCGTTGAACGCATCCTGCCGTACTGGAACAATCGTCGGATCAAGGATCTACTGAGGGACAACCGAGAAGCAGAACCAACTCATCATGGCAGTCGGGCACCAAGCTCATCTTTAATACCGCGAAAAGCCCTGAAAGCCAAGGAGAAAACATCCGTAGTCGGGGCGTGCATGGACATGCATGGAAGCTCGATCCAGTCCATATTTCCGTAAATCAAGGTTGAGTGCGTCGAGAAGATCGCTGCAACCTGCTGATGAAGATCTTTTTCCCAGGTTGCTGGCCCAATGATGAATGGCCATTCCCTCGTTGGTATGGGGGCCCTGCTGCCAGGTACGCACAGAGAGGTTCAACAGATGGATCAGATAAGATAAAATTTTGATCTATGTGGGCCACTCCGAGATGAACCGGGCAGCCGGGGGGGCGACAGTCCTCCACCTTTGGCCTATAAACTTGGGTCAAGAACGCAATGATCCGCGGCGCTGACCGTCTGTTTCGGCGGAAGAAGGAGGTTGCTGGGAATAAAATCGCTCGGAGCACGTCCTCGAGTCAAGAGATGCGCACAAATCCAAGGCAACCGGAAACAGCAGGAGTACAGAATGGAGTGGCTGTGAACTACTATGCAAGTCAACGTTCCTATGTATGTTTGCAGCAATGTATCGACCATTGAGCTCGCTCAGGAACCAACAAGTTACAAAATCTAACCTTGCCCGCCTGTTGTATGTAGAGCAACCCTCAATTAACAAGGGATGATGTCGATCAGAACGTCATTACTCATACAATACATAACTGGCACTGTTTACCAGACACATAATATACCTTGGAGGGCGGGCCGTCAGGTCTTGGTGTCTTGGAAGATGGACCGTCATCGGAGCGGTTCTCGGTGGAGGACCCGGTCGGCTCGGAGCTTAGAGTCGACATAGTGATTGAGTCGGACATCGTGATCCCAACGCCGGAGAAAGATATATCTTGGTGCCCTTGGCCCTGACCTTACAATGTTGAAATTCGGCTCGAAATCTTTCCGTCCTCTATCATCAAGCTCATGTTGCATTTGAACAAGAACTCTTGACCATTCGAGCAGCAAGCGAACACGAGGGTTTAAAAGGGAGAGACCCTCCTTAGGTATAGTACGAAATATCGAGCCTCATGCGAACTCTGTCGTTTCCCAGACTGCTGAGCATTTCTGTACGACCTTGGGTTCGTACTGGTTCCTGACGTGAAGAGGAAGACGGAGGTCAGCGGCGGAAGACCAACTGCAGCGCATGCATGCAGAACGGAATTATTATTGCCCAATTGCAATCTGGACCAGACTGTACAAGCGAAGAAGAATGGACTCCATCAGTGCAGTGCTACGTAGTCCGTCGGGGGATTTTGCGCCCGGTGTTACACTGAGTGAATGAAAGTCAGGTGCTTTTTTGTGTTTTGCGTTTGTGGCTGAATCAGGTCTGGGCCGATTCATTCTCGTGGCCGCGAAAATCCGGGGGGTCCTCAGGGGCAGACTTCCAGTCGCTACAGCGATTCACAGCGGCTGGTGGTGCACTTGTAGCGGGCTCTGGGGTCGGAGTCGGCCGACACTCGACCTACAATCAGCCCATTTCGATGCCGCATCGACGCATTTACGCATAACCAATAGAGAGTTTCCTGTTTCGTGTTCCGTCATAATTTGGACCATGAAAACGAAGCGGAAAGTCGAAATCAGCATGTTTGACTGTATATATGGTCCAAGATGGAACGAACTGCCACTGCTCAGTTGACATGACCCATTGAACACATTCATCATCACAACCATCAACAGCATCAGAATTCAAAGATAGGCAGTCATACACCTGCCGCAATATACAGTCTATACTACACACACAAACCCTCCCACACAATACTAGTATCATATTATACTATGAGCAACCCAACATACTACGCTCGACGATACAGGACTCTCTTCAGTCCCAACGCTCTCAACTTTGCTCCGAGCCAACCTCGCCAGGCCATTGCTGCCGTATACTCGCCCGCCCCCACTGGCATCCACTGCGGGCTGCCTAGAGGTATAGCTGCACGAAGCAACCCGAGAGTTTTGCTAGCTCTTCTGGCGCCTGTAGCCATAGGTGAGTCGATCCCTATACACTCTCCAAGTACTTCTTTCCCCGGATCGCAATAGTTACTGACATTGTATTCTCTCTCTTTACAGCTACCGGTCTCGTCACATTCCTCGAAGGTCAGCTCAATAAAAGTGTAGCAACAGCACACCTCAACAGTGCGCCGGTAACACCCTCGGCAGAAGAATTGAGGAGAAAACAACTGCTCGACGCCTATGGCGACCGAGAGAGCTTGGAGAGGCTCGCAGAGGTGACGGCCATCTACGAAGCCACTCGCTAAGATCCAAGCGCTGGACATGCGATCCGCCTTGGTTTTCATGAAGGGATTACTAAGGCGGACAGGATTTGTTCATTGAAATTTGCACTTTGCATTTGTGGCGTCTGGGTATCCTCCTGGATGAGGATGGCGTTCAAAGGACAGAATGTCTCTGGCAATGGTTGTCAGAGACAAAGACATGAATTGAATTCAAAATTCCATCTTTCAAAACTACGTGCAAGTTTCAGCTGCTCAACAGGGGTCGAAACTTACCCTCGTGGAGATTATAGGTCAAGATTCTGTGCAGCGAGACATTGGGTCCTGGGCATGGGAGTTGTGATATGCATTATCGTGGTATCTGCTTTGTTGCATCAACCTGCAATGCTCGGACAAAAGATCCACATGTAGGAGTATACACCAATTACATGCTCGTTCATTCATTCCAGATGAGTATACTTAGCAAGCTGCCCACCATTCCACGAACGGCGATGCGGTGCCTCCACGGAGAATGACGCAATTGGAGACCCGGATTGCTCAACACCACACAATCTTATTCCCGGTCCCCTCATGACCATTTCACTATTTGAGAACAGCGCGCGAAACTGTTCAAGTGAAAAATAAAACAGTCATTCACATCTTTCTCTCATCATGTCGACGACTACAACAATCACTGCGCCTCCGGGTCCGCCGGGGCAACCGGACATTTCGTACGTGCCAAATCCAGAAAAGTGGCGTGCCCGCGCCGAGTCTCGGATTAAAGCCGGGGGGTTGCCGAACAAGGTCCCGGAAGGTTTTCCGGAGCAACTCTCCGGAAATCTAGTGTGGGAAGGCAGTTCCGTTGCAGCCAGTTACAACTGGACCTTCGTTCTTAGTGATGGTCATCTCGATGAGATCGATAGCGCTGTGAAGCATTTCAAGTGTAAGTTGACGTGAAAATCACTGGTTGGCAAAGGGGAGGGGAAACTAAGCAATAATAGCTCTCAACCTGCCGACTGGTCATGTCAGTGTCGAGACCTTTCCACTCCCGACCTTGCACCCTGAGCTTCGTCGTCTCTCTGCCGAGTTGCATAAGGGCCACGGCTTTTTCGTCATCCGCGGTTTGCGACCAGACGAGCACACACGAGAGGAGAATCTCATCATTTACGCCGGCGTTTCGGCGCACATTGCACCGCAGCTGGGCCGACAGGACCACAAGCACAACGGCGAACCCGCTGACGTTGTGCTGGGGCACATCAAGGATTTGAGCAGCACGCAGAATGGTTCTATTGGGAGCCCGGCCTACACGACTGACAAGCAGGTCTTTCACACGGACTCGGGTGATATCGTATCCCTATTTGCCCTCGAGACGGCGGCCGCGGGCGGAGCCAGTAAGCTGGCGAGCACGTGGAGAGTTTACAATGAGATAGCAAAGACGAGGCCTGATTTGATCCACACACTATCAGGCACCTGGGACCAGGAAGTGTATGTCCTTCTTAAAAGATTATGCTATAGTCTGTTTCCTTATCACGTACACTACTAAACAAGGTTGCATTAGTTTTGAAAAGGCCGACAAGCAGTGGACGGAGCGCCCGCTCCTCTTCCACTTCCCCGCCACCGACTCTACTCCGGAGAGGGTCACGCTTCAGTATGGTCGCCGCTATTTTGTGGGATATGGTGCGCTGCCGCGAAGTCCAAACGTTCCCGCTATCACAGAGGCCCAGGCAGAAGCGCTGGATACGCTGCACTTTTTGGGTGAAAAGTTTTGCGTCAATACCAATTTCCAAAAGGGCGATATCCAGTACATCAACAATCTAGCCATATTCCATGCTAGAGATGGGTACACCGATACTGCAGAGCAGAAGTAAGTCGATCCTTTATCCCTCCTCTTTCCTTTCCCTGTCCTTTAAGCCGAACTCTGAATTCAGTTGAGCAGAACAAGGTTGCTGATAAGTATTTAGGCGACATCTTCTCCGATTCTGGTTGCGGGATCCGGAAAACGCTTGGCAGACACCACAGGTTTTGCAGAAACGGTGGTCTTCTTTGTATGACGGAGTGAATAAAGATTCCAAAGTGTTTCCTCTTGAGCCCTACATTCGCAGCGCTGGAAATAAAGGACGTTGAGACTTGCATCATCGCCAAGCAGTGTATAGCCGTGGATAGCTCCATCTACCGAAATGTCTTGGCGTGATGCAGCGTGGTTCACAGATTTCATACCCCGCGGCATTGCTATAATATGCGAATTGAATTGCTACTGATAGAAAATATATACGGAATAGACTTACTCCAACGCTAATCTAACCTAAACGTCCAAGCAAGCTTTCATCGACAATCCGACCACCAGACGCTGGAACGGACACAAGTATAGGGAGGCTTGCACTGCGTCGGACCGGTGTAACCACTACCACCGCATTGGCCCCATTGATTCACCAGTTGGTTGCTGCCCGTCGTGCCCGTCGTGCCCGTTGCTGCAGTCGTGCTCGCCGTGGTGCCTTGAGCGCGGGATGTGCTCGACGTGTCCCTTTTTGAGGCACTCGCCGTTCCTGTGAAGATCGTTGTAGTGACTGTCACCGTCGCGGCTGTCGGGCAGGCACATGTCGGCGCTGTGGCTGTGCTCTGACGTCCAAACAAGGAGGAAGTCAGGCTTGATGATCTCGCCAACATTGTCGAGCTGCTACTGGCAGCGGAGCTCCTCGACATCGTTGCCAAGGCAGTGGAAAACGATGTGGCCGAACTGCTGGATGAAGTCGAGGCCGATGTCGAGGGGGTGGGCGGTGAGGAAGAACCCATCAGTGCACCGTATACTCCATCCAGAAATCCCGTGTTGGCTGCCATCTGGCTCATATCCCACATCATTACACCTCCAAAGCTCGTAAAGGTCTTGCAGTAGCTAATGATGGGTGCCAGCTGCGAAGCTGGGAGGTAGCCACCGCCAGCGCCCGTGTTTGCCGGTACTCCGAGGAGGACCTTTACACTGGGATTCTTGCTCTGCTTGGCCCAGTTATCCCAGACATCCATATTGAAATTGTTTTGGGAAGTCGCTCCGAGTGTGAATGACTGGATTCCGCAGTAGTTGTTGTAGAACTGCACCATGACAAAGTCCATCTCGACAGTGCTCAGCATATCGTTCATGGCGGCATCAGGGAATGGACACTGTGGCGCCGCTGAAAGATAGTACTTCTTGTCACCAGAGCTAGTAGCAGCGTTCATGAGATCACGCAGCTCCTGTGCAAAGGGTGCCGTGTTTTGCGTCGTGGATTCGAAATCGAAATCAAAGCCATCTACCACAGCAGAGCCAAAGGGTCGGTTGGCGGCTGTCGTGTTGGGTCCAAAGAGATTCCATACATTATTTGCGGCAGCCTGTGCGGCAGCGGCCGAGCTGAACCCGCCTTCGGTATAAGTTGCGCCGCCTAGCGAGAGGAGTATTGTCTTTGAGTACGTCGTCTGACAAGTCTTGATATCTTGTCTAGATAGTGGTTATAGCCATTAGTTACGTGATGACAGAAGCAACATCTTGCATATACGCACGCTATTTGTGGACAATTCAATAACTGGGTTCCAGGGTACGATGTACAGGCATGAATAGCACTGGCAAAGTTGACCGATGGGTTCTGGATACCAAGCATAAATGCAATTGGAATGATATTGAGCTCAGTATCTAGCACACGGGTTAGTAGGGGCCTTGTTAAAGAGGACTTGCTGAATTACTTGAGCAGTATTCGCTCAACCGCGATTGTGAGTTGGCTTGTCCGTAGGAATTCTGCCCCCAGTATATGGCAACGTTTGACTGTATGCTGGGATCAAATCCAGCGGATGCCAATTGTCCGAGCCCTAGGCTCGCCGCGAGCAATGAAAAGGAGAGCTTGGCCATGGTGATTTTGTCTGATGAAACGCTTTGACTCTTGCAGAACTTCTTTCCGACATGTTGATGGCCCTGTATTTATCATTGCTGTCAAACATTTCTCAACTTCATGAGGTGGACGCGTGTCCAACCTCAGTGGCACCAGCCCGTTGCCACATGTGTCGCTGATGAGGCCTCATTGTCTCTGCTTATCTCCATAATTCCCCATAGTGAGGGCACACGTGAGACTACTCCTTCGAATGAAGGAGTTCATGAACTGGGTCCTGCCCCTTTAGCAGCTCTTGGAAACAAGATGCTCCGCGGCCGTTTGAGGCACATGAGCACACCACTTTCGATAGGGAGAGAAGTAAGGTGTGAGACACTCATCTCGGCACGGCTGGACGTGCCACTGACAGGCTTGACAGGAGGCACTAGTCTCGACTGACTCAACGGCTTTTAGCATGTATTGTTATGTATGTATGCCTCACGATATACCCGTTCGTATTAGTGGAAAGGGGGGTTCTGCTGAAAACACAGTTTCTAGCCTGATAGTTCCCAAACATTATTGGAGAAAAACCACAACACGATGCCCAGAGGCGCCAGCCTTTCAGGGGGAAGAGAAAGCCACGATGTATTGGGTCCAAATACGCAACACATAGATGCGCTCCCTCTCCCTCTCGGCCATACATATGATGGTTGGAATTGCAAGACCGCACTGGATGGCATGGCACATTCCTAGAGTCTGGCATGCACACAACCCGTGGTGGATCTTTCTTCTCCTAGCCATGGACTCACGACCCAGGTTGCCCAGAGACTTGAAGATAGGTGCGCCCTACCCGCACGCCTTGAGTTCGGCATATGTCGGGGTGATTGACCGCCGCCCAGTAATTGGGGGGTGCCATCCTCTGGCCCAGTAGCGTGACGGGGAGCAGCGATCCATCACGTGTATCGTGTGCAAGATCTCTAGTACAGTCGTCGTTGAGGGCCGTTGCACACACTGGAGGTATCACACAGCGATGATCTCCAAAGTGAAAAGTATTGCTTCCTCGTTGACCGCAAGTCGGCCCATCCCATTCAACTAGGTCTTGTGCTGGCGTGTGATTACAGAAGTCGGGGTAGATAAGGCTAACAAGCTTCGATGTCCTTCCAGAATATCACGAGCCACATAATTTTGAAGCTCTTGACTGCATCTTCCCGATAATCGTCGTATCACAGTGACAATTCAAAGAAGATGGGATTTCGAATGAGGCTTAAATGTGAGTTGCGTGATCGAGGTTCATCAATATAATAGTACTTTTACTTCTTCAAGTCCTGTCTCATGCGCACCCATACATGTATACTCCCACCACCACTACCCGTGCTACCATGCCCACTATTACAGTCAACTGCTGCTGCTGATGGCATCGAGTTTTAGTTGGTTGCTGGGGCCCTGGCTCACGTTCTAAACCCCGAAGTCCCCTACAAGTCCACTGAAGGTGGATCCACTCCAAAAGGCCTGCTAGGTTAGCGGATTTTTGTTGGCGACGCGCCACAGTTGGGCCAATGGCAATGCGCCCGCGCATTTCGCGTACGGGTCCGAGCTTTCCTCTGGTTGCTAGCGCTTTCGTGTTAGCTGCTGTTGCTCTGGCTGGCCAACGACTTTTGAAAGACACCAAAAAGTGACATCGCCAGTCTCCATTTCTCATCGCTGCTGTTGTCGCATTGCCGTGGTTTCGCGACAGAATTCACCCCGGAAACGGAACCGCGCCAATATTTCTCTACACAAAATGCCTGGCCGTCGCTCCGGTCGCGCTGCCGCTAAGCGTGCTGCGGAAAAGCTCGGTAAGCATCAATTCATTCCAGAATAACCACCACAGCAACCATCGCTGTCCCATCGAACCCGTGCATCCCTTGTTCCAGATTCGCGACCGCCGCAACTGGCGCAATATATGTCGCTTCTGTAGAGGTCATCACGCTGACATGGTGTCTGAGTTTCAGAGAGCACGCCCCGCACCTTTGAAGACCTGGAGGATGAGCCCATGCCCGATATCGACGCAGACAACTCTGACGCTGAAGCCCAACCCGATGCCGAGGATCAGGATGGAGGCTCTGACGGCGAGGCCGAGCAGGAGAAGGAGGACGAACCAGAATCCGACGGCGCTTCAGCCAAGTCGCCATCACCCCCGCCACAGCCCGTCATTAGAAGACGACGGCTAGGACGCCCACCCAAAAATCGACCTCCCGACTGGGATACTCTCCCAATCGAACCTCCAAACCGCGATCCCAATGAAACTCCCAGAAGACGAGGTCGCGGAGGATGGCGCGGTCGAGGTGGCCGCAAGGGTCAGTCCTTTAAGCCAACTCAACAAGCAATCGACAATGAGGGAACCATGGCCGACATTGTAGGCGACGAGCTCGAGTTGCCCGAGGATCCCGACGGTGAGACCAAGGTCGACAAGCTGGGTAACCTCAAGGATGGTAGAGATTACCGATGTCGTACCTTTACCGTCGCAGGACGTGGTGATCGGCTTTACATGTTGTCAACAGAGCCGGCTCGATGTGTTGGTTTCAGAGATTCGTATCTCTTCTTCACCAAGCACAAGCGCCTGTACAAGATCATTGTTGATGACGACGAGAAGCGCGACATGATTGAGCGAGAAATCATTCCACATTCATACAAGGGCCGTTCGATAGGTATCGTTACAGCCCGCTCAGTCTTCCGCGAGTTTGGCGCCCTCATCATCGTGGGCGGACGCCGCATCATCGACGATTACGAAGTGGCAGCGCGTCGAGCTGAGGGCGTAGTTGAGGGCGAGATTGCTGATCCCAACGACCGCTTCATCGAGGGAGAGGTATACAACAAGAACCAATACGTCGCTTGGCACGGTGCCAGTGCCGTGTACCACACGAATGGTCCTTCGATACCGGTCGTCAACGGCAAGGTGGAAATCAAGAAGAAGCGAGTACCACTCACGGACACAAACTGGCAGCTAGAACATGCTCGTGCTGCAGCGTAAGTCAAGATATTGCTACATTTGAGATATACGAGAATTCCGACTGACGTGGCTATAGTCAATTCAATGCTGAGATTGGTGCCATTCGCCGCCATAACAATAATGGAGTTTACGATGTTCATACCAATGTTCTGCAGTATCCTGTCAGCATGCAGCCTACGCATGCACGTATCGAACAGGTTGCCGATTCATCTGCTCCGAGCGACAGCAAGCTCTTTGCACCTCTCAACCCAGTCATACCTCGCAATTTCAAGGTCATTGACACAATCATGGAGACACCTCCTGCAAGCCTCCCCAATTCGGCGTACAAGCAGAATTACAACGTTCCTGATTTCCTGGCTTCTTTCCAAGGCCTCGACTCGGTATCTGACGAAATCGCGGACCTACTCCCGCCCGAGTGCCGCAAGGCCTTTGACGATGCACGAGTTAAAGAAAACGATTGGAAGAGTAAATGGGGACCGGAGGCTGAGATGGCGCATCGACGACTTCCCGTTATCGATGCTGCCATAGTGCCGTATAGCAAAATGTAGAACGTCTATGACAGACGCTGCAACGTTCTCAGACACTTGTCGAAGCTGATGCTCTGGCGCCCCCTGCCCGAGGTTAAGCCTCTGTGGAGATTTATCATCTTTAGGAGCTAGTGAAGCGACTCAAGTTTCGTTTGGCTCGCGTTGAAGATGTGCAATTCATGCATCCGGCAGAGCAGGCGCAGCAATCGAAATCTTTCTCTTGAATGTATGACTAGACCTAAGAGAACTGGACATGGTGGGAATAAAATGTAATGTTTAACGCTCAGAGAGATCCGTTTGATTGGCGGCGTTGATCAGGTTGACTTATTGGAGTTTGGAGTATTCGAGAGGGAGTCTGTTTGGTCGGACGGGACACTGACAATGGAATTATTTGTCAACGGTGGTATGAACAAGACCCGCTAGATCCGTAGGAGAAAATTGCAGTTTTCGTGTTCTCGAGACTGAATGGTACAATCATCATACATGTATCCTGCGCCAATGTCACTTTCTGGTCGGTCCGAACAAGCATCTCAACACCGTACGCATCTACAATTTCTAAACATTTCGACGGTCTTCAGTCTCGGGTTTTGCTAATGAATCATTTCTCGAGCCCAATGCTCTTGCCTATACCAGGCCGCCTCTGTTCCAATACAGCCATGGTCTGCTCAAATAGCTTTTACTGCGTCTTCTTACCGACATCAGTGTATATCCAGGACTCAACATGCTGAAGTTCTCCGTCGCTCATGAATTCGCCATGATATTCGGGTCCAGCCGCCGCACTGTACACATATGTGCGGCCGCCGACCTCGGTTGTTCGCATGAACAGGACTTCTAGTACCTTGATGCCAATCCGACCGGCCAATGGAGGGTTGATGTAGCGATTAAGGGCGGAAATGCAGGTTCCAGGGTTGACGAGGTTGATGATCACGGGTGGGTGAGACCCATCTACTGCCCTGAGGCGAGCTACCAGCTCTCGTACAAAGAGGACTTCCATGAGCTTAGTGACGGCGTACCTGTTGAAATATGCCATTAGATTCACCAACACCTTTGGACGGCCTTTTCTTTGATTTGGATCTCACCTGTCATTCACATTGTAATGTTTCTCCTGCGACAGTGTTGCGTAAATGTCGTCCTCCTCAATCTCGACAAATTTGGTCAGGCGGTGAGCTTCGGAACTGACAACGACCAAGCGCGGGACATGGCGATTCTCGCCGCCGGCATCCTCACTTCTTCCTCCGCCGCGCAACTTTGGCAGTAGCTCAAGAGCGAGAAGAAACGTGTTGATCACATTGACCTGCACGACCGTCTCCCAGACCCCGTCGACGTCCTGCACGGTGGACCACGAGCGCAGAGACACACCGGCGCCAAGAACGAGGACGTCGAGTCGGTCAATATCCTGTCTGACTCTCTCTGCAAATTTCAAGATGGATGCCGTGCTGCTCATATCGAGCTCCCAGACCTCGACGGCCGTGTCGCCATCGGTTCGCGCCGTCACGCTGGCCAGGATGTCCTCCTTGGCCGCCTCGCCCTTGGCCGTGGACCGCACCGCGAGAATCAGCCTGGCGCAGCCGAGGCGGTAAAAGTGCCGTGACGCCTCGAGGCCCAGTCCGATATTAGAGCCCGTCACGATAATTGTTTGCCCTGCAAAGGATTGGGTTGGGTATGCGGGGGTGCGAAATAGTTGCGAATGTGTCCATCTCAGCAGGAGTGCGGTGATGCTGGGCGCAATGGGGTACTGGCGCTCGCCTTTGGTCATGATTTCTCAAAGTATCAATAGAATTTGAATATTATAAAGGTGTGCACAAGATTCAGCGAGGTTTTGGGAGGGCGGTGCTGATGAATGAGTTACGAGACTACATCTTGAGGATAGAGATGCATATATATAGGTTCACATCAGAGACGCTCTTCTCAGCTGCGAAACTAATACTTTCAACCCATGATCCTCCTTTGAGACCGCATATCATTTGACAGGCATGAGTTCATCCGCAATATAAGACCGCAGTCCGAATGTTGTCCGACGAGAGCGCTGCATGACGTTGTTCGGAAGACTAGGTTATACGTTCGTGGATGGGAGGAGACATATTTCAAAATCGGAAACATATGAATTACACTGCAAGCTATATTGACATGCAAACATGTATGTCCCGGATACTTTTCTTGTCTCCGTCGGAGGCGATTATCGATTGTTAATAAGTGCTTGGTGCGTGGATGTCCTCTGGCATAACGGCATTATAGTCAAGCCGCTTCGGAGACTTTCTCGCTAAGCGCGGCGCGCATCTTTTATAGAGTCATAGTTGCTGCCGTTATGTCCATTTTCTCTACACGATTGAATTCCTTGCATGCGGTATTGTCCATTAAACAAACACGGAAAAGCAGAGGTTTTATTGCCGCCAATAGCACGGCTCATTTACTCGTGCTGTAAGTATCATATCGATCCAGCAGCGAAACGATAACCTCCAGTACCTGTTCCATATGCTCCTTCTTGTGCATGATATTCAAGCTCGTAAAGCCTCGTCTTCCAATCATGATCTTTCGCTCGAGTAATTCAAAGTAGAAGCAGTCCTTGACAATTTCACTCTCGAAATGCAAACCAATAGCACTGCCGTGGCCCGTGGCCCAAATCGCCTTGGATCCTCGAGATGTGACTGCCTCATTGATTCCGTCGCGAAGTAAATCCCCCAACTCATTGGTCCGCGAAATTTCCTCTGTGCCCAAGATGTGGCATCCTGCGATGCCTGCAATCATTGTAAAGATATTATTGTTGTAGGTACCCGAATGGCTGATCGCAGAAGGCGACGCTGGATCAAATGTGGCCATGATCTCTTGGCGCCCGCCAAACGCACCGAATGCGAATCCTCCACCGATGTATTTGCCCAAGGTGGTCATATCCGGGGTAATATCATGGTAGCCCTGTAGTCCGTGGTAGTGCAAACGCGAGGTGACAACTTCGTCAAAGATCAGTACGGCGCCGCAAGCCGTCGCCGCCTCGCGAAGATAGGACAGGAATTCCCGAGTGCCGGGGATCATGCCTCCAGCCGATTTCATGGGCTCGACAAGAATGGCACCAATGCTTGAGTCCATCAACTTGCGCGTACCTTCGACGTCGTTGTACGTGCCAATGACGAACTCATGAGGCAGTCTGACGGGATCATGCTCTTTCGCAAAAGCGAGCGTGCCGCCGTGGTAGCCACCGAGAAATACCAAGACCTGGTCGGTTATTAGTCGATAGTCACTTTCTCTTCGAATAGTAGTGTAGACGGTCAACTTACCTTTCTTTTCTTGGTGTAATGTAACGCCGCCGCGAGAGCCATGGTGTTGGCTTCGGTACCCGAATTACAGAAACGCATGAGCTCCATGCTGGGGAACCGCTTCTTGACCAGCTCAGCAAACTGGACCTCATACTCTGTCACGCCGCTCAAGTTAATACCGATGGATGCAGCTCGCTGGATGGCGTCAAGAATCGCCGGGTGCGAATGGCCAAACATGCACGCCGAGTACTCGGATATGAGATCGACATAATCTACACCCTCGGCCGACGTGACGGAGCAACCCTGTCCTGATTTGATGATCAAAGGGAATGGGCTAGAGTGCAGCACGGTCCTCGTGTTGCCTCCAGGCAGGGCCGAGGTTGCGCGCTTTGCATTGGCTTCGGATGTTGGGTTTGCGGCTATGAATCGATCTATAAGCTCCTCCAGCCGTTTTTCATAGTCTCCATATCTCGATAGGAGCTGATCTGCAGCACTTGAATTTATATGAATAATCTTGCAGTCTTCGGATTGGGTGGTCGATACCTGAGAGCCTTTCGGGATCAGGATGACGCAGGGAGCTTTAGCAGTCTGGCTACTGCTCGATACCTGGTCCTTGACGACAAGTTCTCCTATTTCCAGCTATGTTAGTCATCCAACTCTGGTGTCTATGCCATTAACAACCTACCTCGGACGAGGTACTTTACGCTACCGTCTTTCGAAGTGATCTCGGCAGATGACTGATCATTGTCTACACGCCAGACACTTTCAGAGAGCGCATTGTTCTCAATGCTGCACAAATTGCATTAGCTTAACAAGAACAATATTTCGTCTTCGTGAGAACTCACATGGTCTTAGATGGATGCTTATCAGCATGGAGATCCACCTTCAGTTGATCAAGATCACTGATGATGGTTATCTTTGAACTCATCTTGAATCGTGGGCTTCCAGATACGATCGGATACTTTTCTGGCTTTCCCTTTTCACTTCTATTGCATTTCAAAGGTTGACACGGAGAAGCAGGTATAGGGTGATGGAGAAATAGAGGTGGTTGGGCTTGTCTGCCTATCTCTGTCTAAGTGAGAGGTGCCTGATAAGTCACAGATCACAGCACCCCACTTACGGGGTTCAGTTGGAGTATAGTACCGAATATCGGAGCACTATTTACTCGCTTGCTATCTCACACTGTTGGATATAATTTCATCCGTTCTCTTCAAATTTCCCGACTCTTGGTCCAAAATCACAAGGCCACTTTTCGCATCCAACAGACATGCGTTGCATCAAGCGATTGAGCGACCGACCAAGTTGCGGCTGCATCCGGGTGAAAAGTGTAGCCACCGGACCTACCTCGTCCCTATGAATTCTGCTAGCGAAAACTGTCTGCAGTTTACTCCATTGACCTCGCAGCACCTTAGCCACTCCCGGCGAATAGCGCTCATCGAGTTGCCACAAGAAATGTTACGCAAACCCAACTCCGCCAACGGCAAGTGGCAGTAGATGCGGGTGGTTAGTGCATGTCGCGCTGACTTGAGGGAATCCGGCTGCTATTAAATCACCCATTACACCTCTATATATGAGGAGAAGCTGCCATTTGTGTCGAACAATGGTTAGAGTAAGCACAAGGTGATTTATACGAAAGATGAGCACTAGTGGTGGTAACCTCCAAGCCCATTTGAAGAACCCACCAAAACCCATCTCTTCAGACACGGGAGGATTGGCGGGAAGCAATAACGAAGAGAACTTCATAGGTAGGTGAAACCAAAATTTGTTTTAGCGGTCATTGCGCTTCGTGTACCAGTAATCCGATATACCGGAGAAGGTCCATGTAGGCCTTGTAGGTGACAGCATGAGTAACACTCCCGATCCACTCGTTCTGTGAAATATCGGGATCCATTTGACGGGAAAAGTATTCGAATTCTTCGCTAAAGCTCAGTGAGACCTTTGCTGCATTGTCATGGCGTCATGATTCTAGCCCATATCGGGCCATTGATTGCCCAGCCTCGCTGTACCTAACAAAGAAGGTATCTCTAAGGGTAAGTTGATAATTCGCAAAAGGTGGGAGATTGCAGTCTGAATACTTACACGTAGAAATTATCCTAATTGTTGGCTTTGATGAACACCCATACGGCTCTTCAAAGAAATCCAGCATATTATTTCGCTCATTTCCCGTCGTCACTTTGGGCGTTGCCCTCCCGAGAAGCGCCGCTAGCCACTTTGCCTTCTTGGTAAGGGAGTGTTTGCATAATGGTTCCCAGCAAGTCAAGTCGACATCACCGAATCTCTGACCAGATTCTTGCCAAAATTGTGGCTCCATTCCGACTCTTTCACACCTCGCATATGCTTCTCAAAAACGAGTTGTGGCGAAATTTGAGCGGAATCCGGCGCAATTTCAGGAAGCGATGAGGAAATCCAATCAAAGATTCTGCCCGAATATTGTGATAGATTGAAACAGGTCATGGGGCTTGTCCTTTAGAGAGCGGTCCAGAAGGGTCGGAATGGCGACTCTGGGCTGGGCCTCAAAGGGGGGGAGTTGTTCACGACTTGTTGGATTTGAGAAGCATGTAGTTTGCGAAGTCGAAAAGTATTTCGCGCAGGTCGATGCAGATAATGGCCCAAGCTGAAATGAAGATTTGTAATGAATCATGTCTGATTCGTTTCAATTGCGACCCAAAGAAGTTGCATTTTTTTCAGCTCGTTATCGCGTATCTCAGCCACATGGTGACATGGTCTGGGGTGTGCCTGAATTGGGAAGTCCAGAAGATGGTATTTCGACCAGTTTGGAAGACCTTCGTAGCAATGAGGCAATGGCGATATGTCACGACACAATGATGCACAGGATTGATTATATGAAACAATGTGCCACACGATCCGCCAAGTGCCGACAGCAATTCATGGCGGCACGTGCTGCTTAAGGACAATGAATTTGCGACGGGGAGGGGCTGGAATCCGTTGCCAAGACCCGTTCCGGAAGCATGTCCGCTCCGCATAACAGCCATCCGATCTCATAGTCCGCCAACGCTCCCATCACAGGCCAATACTCCAATCTATCATACCACATGCCGCAAAAGGCTTGGCGCTTCATTACACCCACTAGCAGCCATGACCGGCAATATACTCTCCGTGCTGCGACCTATACCTAGTACCTACCTGTCCATGGGGTAGGATGATAGTCGTCGAGTTTTCCCAATAACCTGGGGTCTGCAGCCATCTTTGTCTTTGCCAAGACTTTTAGACCTTGATATACTACTGTCAACCTGCAGACATCTTACGCGTCCATCACTACGATCACCATGTCTCTATTCACGCGAATGCTGCTCGCCTCCACAGCGCTGGCTCGCTTGGTCGCCGCCAGCACGGCTGCAAGCGATAGCCATGGATCAGATCCCAGTCCTCCGGCATCCCAGAAGCCCAATTTTATCTTCATCATGACCGACGACCAAGATCTGCACCTCAACTCGCTGGATTACATGCCTGCCGTCCGTAGGCATTTTACAGAAAAGGGAACAACGTTCGACAAGCACTACACCACCGTATCACTGTGTTGTCCTTCGAGGGTAACCCTCTTCACGGGGCGAGCCGCGCACAATACCAATGTGACGGACATCGTGCCGCCCTATGGTAAGGCCACAATCAGAATTCATACAGCCAGGCAGGCACTGACCCCAGTACAGGTGGATATTCGCAGTTCATCGCCGAAGGATGGAACGACAATTATCTCCCAGTATGGCTTCAGGCAGAGGGCTACAACACCTACATCTCTGGCAAGCTCATGAATGGCTTTTCGGATCATAATTATGACAAGCCTCCACCCAAAGGATGGACATCCCGCGATCGTAAGTGTCTTCAAAATGATGTGTTCAAACACCATGATACTAACGAGCACATGCAAGTATTTGTTGAGCCAAATACTTACGTATACTACAACGCATCCATGCAAAGGGACAAGGAGGAGCCCAAGTACTACCCACACAACTACTCAACTGACCTGGTTGGTGACAAAGCCGTTCACTTCCTGGACCATGCAATCGACTCGGACAAGCCCTTCTTCCTCGCCGTAACGCCGGTGGGCCCACATTCCGAATCGGTGCCGGACGGCTTCTCCCACCCTGTCCCGGCGCATCGGCATGAACACATGTTCCCGGGTTTGAAGGCACCACGTACTTCAAACTTTAACCCAGACGTGGTAAGTACCCTCACATAATGTATTAAAGAAGGTGTAAGCCGAATATTCGCCTATACTAACATCCTACACAAGCCGAGTGGCGGGGGCTGGATTAAGACGTTGGACCAGCTCAACGATACCGTCGTCGACTACTTGGACGACTGGTATCGAAACCGGATCCTGGCGCTGCAGTCGGTCGACGACATGATCAACGACATCTTGCGGCGGATGGAAAAGGACAAGGACGTGCTCGACAACACGTACCTCATCTACACGTCGGACAATGGGTACCACGTCGGCCAGCACCGACTCGCGCCGGGCAAGACGTGTCCAATTGAGGAGGACATCAACATTCCCTTTATTATCCGAGGACCAGGTATCGACGCCGGCAAGACGGTTAGCATTCCCACGACACACACGGATCTTGTGCCGACGCTGTTCCAGCTGGCCGGCATCCCACTGCAGGATGAGTTTGACGGCGAGCCCATGCCCGTCACCTCGGAACAGATTGAGGCTTGTGAGCACAAGAACGAGCACGTTGGCGTCGAATACTGGGGCATTGGTATTCCGGAAGGCAAGTACGACGGTACTGGAGCCCTCATGGTCGGAGGTAAGTGAACCTGCTGTCAAGCGCCAAGTAAATATTGCTGGCGCAAGAAGACTGATGATTTTATCTAGGCGGTGGTTTGTTCAACACGTACAAAGCGGCCCGAGTCATCAGCGACGACTATAACATAGCTTATATAGTCTGGTGCTTGAATGAACACGAGCTGTACGACATGACGGTAAGTCACATCTCCTGCTCTAGAGCGCGTTGCATGAAATTGACTCCATCGTTGCAGGTTGATCCCGGGCAAATGAACAACTTGTACGGCGAAAACGGCACAATCAACGGCTGGCAGATCCCGCAGTTGACTAACCGCATCGATGCGCTGGTCTTGACGCTCAAGGCATGCAAGGGCTCCGTGTGCACGCGGCCGTGGGAGACGCTGCACCCTCAAGGTGACGTGCACAACCTGGCCGAGGCAATGGACCCCAAATTTGACGACTTTTACCGCGACGAGGCAAAGGTCACCTACTCGGCGTGTATGAAGGGCTATCTGCCCGATTTTGAAGGCGTCCTGTACCCGACACCATTCTCGACCAGCGCAAACTACTCGTCGGCAGAGCCCCAGCTGAGAATACCCCGGTGGGCAGCATAGTGGCTTTGCACAGGCAACCGCTCGAGTCTTGTTTGCGCTTCCTGTCGTTATCGTTTAGAGTTTAGAAACATACATGAACACTTTCTTAATGTAAATTGTGTATATGTTCTTGTTGAATCTAATCGTGAGAGGAAAGGCAACAAGGTCGTGAATGCACGGTCACTTGGTGCGGATCATGGGCACGGCTCCGGCTCCAAAGATCTTCATTGCAGTCCCATTGCCAAGACGAGGATCTTCAGAGGCTCAGTCCCCCGTTGGCCGTTGCCCGGTGCGGAGACCTTGCCGGTATACATGATTCAAGATGAATATGTTCAACAGTGGACGTTTTCTCAGAGTGCAGACTGCCGCAACATGGAGTTTACGGTTCCGCTGACGCTTTGCAAAACTCCGGCGCTTAAGTCCGGCTGGCGTTTCGGAGCCGAAACGCTTGGGAGCTGCTGATGCTGGCGATGCTCACTCATTGGCAACGAAACGTATAATTCACAAAGGATATATATATATATAAGAGCTTCGATGAGGTTAGAATATAGCTAAAGGCATTGGACAGATATCCAGAGCAGCAAATCATCATCTACACATTCGAACATACGAGTCATTCCTGGAGCATCAAACACCTACCGGCACAATGGCATCGACATCTCAACCCAACCATCCTTCACACTATGGTCCATCAGACACTGCATTGCTTCTTCTGGACTATCACAATATCATACTCTCTACAATTCCAGTAGAGGCGGAGAAGGAAAAGCTGGTCAAGTCTACGCAGACACTTCTGGCAGCCGCAAGGGAGAGCAAGGTACCGATCCTACATTGTCTGATCGGGACCTCTAGGAACCCACTGCCCACAAGCAAACTCGTGGCTCGCTGGGAGGAATCATTCAAGCCGGCCATCCAATCGAACCCCGAGCTCGCTCTGCAAATTTCCAGCTTGGCTGGCGACCAGAGCTCCGACACGGAGTACTTTTTCGACCGGGTGCCAGGCCGGGTGTCGGCGCTCAAGTCCGAAGGCATCATGGAGCTGCTCAAGGACAAGCTCGGGATCAAGAGCCTCGTGCTCGGCGGCGTGGTCTCTAGCGGCTGCGTGCTCAGCACGGCCCGGAACGCGGCCGACGAGGACTTTGTCGTCACGGTCGTCCCGGATGCGTGCTGGGACCGCGAGGCCGAGGTACACAGGACCGTCATGGACAAGATTATCCCCATGACGGGTCATACCGTTAGCATTGAGGAGGCGGTCAACATTTTCAAGGGAAGCGGCGCGTCGGGATAGGATAGTAGACGGATCCAGTTGTGGTGCAACGTGCGCATATAGCATTGGTTTTCGCTTGCCAGGCTCTCGAGGCCTTTGACAGTGATATTAGGACCAATGCTTCATCATGTCTGGGCTGTACAGTTTGCTGCTTCGACGCCTCGCGGAAAACCTGTCGAGATTAGCTTTTTGAAAGATCTACTCTTCGAGGCTGCTGGTGACGACTAGGACCACCGGGCATGAGCTTTATCCAGTGAGGCAGTGCAGACACTACCCAAGTTAGATTATCTCTTTACCCCTTAAGAAATAAACATGAGATGAATTAGACGTTCCTTTAATTATTGGAGCAGAATCGAAAAGGCTCCGTAGGTATCAAGGTGCTCAAAGTTCTTATTCAATATGGAGACACACGAGGAAGAGGTTTTTGTGCACATGGTCAGACTGTGGTGCAAATCATCCCAATTATAAAAGTGTCACATGCCACACGATAAGCACATGCATACCTGAGCACTTATACCACAGCACATGTTTTCAAGACATCTTGACCAATACGAACAATGTGTCGCAGAATGAAACGAGGCTCTAGATAACAGTTATCCGGCAGGGGAAGTTATCCTCATGGTTCAGCAATGCTGCTGACATAGTAGATTGTCAAAGTTCGTAGCTCTTGAGCGTTGCTGGCTGTACATGCACAGAAGTACGGACGCGCGCCTAGGTGTACGTAAACGGCCACTTCCGTCCCCTACTGCAGGGGTGGGAGTCTTAAGCGACCGTTGGTCATGGCGTCTGCATCGGTGTTTAGGAAAGAATTTTCGTGCCTTGTGCAACATCCAATTGCATGTCTTGGAAGCTGAACAATTCTGCAGTTGGACGTGTTCCGGTTCGGCAGTTTCCCCTACTATGTACTAGTAGTTGTACTGTGATAGCGATTGACATCACTATGCAAACTCTGATGTTCTGGTCTTGTCGTTCGTCATAATGAATCCCCGCGGAGAAGGAGAGGAGGAAAGAAAAAACTCTTGCTAGCTAGATGCCCAAATAGAAGAGACTAAGAAAACAGAGAGCCACTCGGTAGGGCTTTTATTCATCAGTTGTACGAGTTTTTCTCGTATGTGCGTGCGCTCGTGTCCTTGGTTTGTTCGTGTTTTGTGTTTTTCTTATGTTCCTTTGGCATGAGCTGGGCTGCGGCAGTGCCTGACTAGCGAATTATGGGGGGCGGCAATTGGCAAGTTACAGGCGAGTCCGATCGACCCGATTTTCCTACTTTCCCCCCTGAATCTGAATAATGATGCGTGCATATTGAACGAAAAGCAGCAATCTGAGAATCAACCGCGACTCAATGTCAAAGTTCCAGAGCCAGGGGAAAACACGAAAAGAGTTCCCATGATGTTGTAGTAGGTAATAGTAGTAAAGATCCAAACATTTTCGTTCCAATAGTCGAAATGAGGCTCACTTTTGACCCCCCAGCCGAGGCGAGTCGAGGCCAAAGCATGTAATAATAATTCCAACATTCATTCCCCAGAGGAAAAGGAGGGCTTTTGAATTGAATTGTAGGAATTGCCAATTACGGCGGCACTGCGACGGGGCCTCTGTCCAAGTAGTAAGATGAGTGTTCAAGCCTCTTTAATATCTCCTCACCAAAGCATTGAAATTGCACTGGGCCAAAAATATCAACAAGATCGGGGTCGTGCTGGGCTCGTGCTGGGCCTGGTGCTGCTTTGAGCCCTTGGACTTGTTTACTGGCCTTTCTTGCTTGGTTATTACTACGTACTGCTGCTTGCTTATAAGCTGTCCACGTCATTAGTTGGCCATTTTTGGGCGGCAGATCCACCCAGGACCTGCCCATAGACAAAGTCCCCATCGAGGCTGAGCCCATCCCAGCTAGAGCGTCGCGCCCAAAGGCGGCGGGCCGGTAAAAATACGAGGGAATGGAGACCCGTCTGCCCAGTCAAGCACCCAAGCTGCCCGCCAACATTGCCCACACCCACATCCACAACGACGACTCTTGCTTGGTCTGGTGCTGGCGCCAGTTGCGTCCCACCCGAATCGCTCAGGGAGACGTAGCGCCGGCAGCGGGGGCAGCGGATGCAGTCTTGGCTAGGTCTAGACGAAGCCATATGTCAGGGGAACCACTACGAACCTGAGCGACTCTGCCCAATCAGCCCTCTTCCACCGTTGGACCATCCTAGCCATACCACGCACCACAGTCACCACACAACCACATACACGCACCCCCCTTTGCTCTATATCCCTGCTATAGCCGACTTGGCCGACACCCTGGTCAGAAATGGATACCCCCATCTGGATCGATTGGGAGCTCATGGATCAGGTTCTGATCCCTGGGGACCCGGATCATTGTTTTCAAGCGCTTCTAGAACCGCTGATCCGGGTCCCATCCAGGAGTTTTTCTTGGATCTTGGCAGATTTTCTGTATCTCAATCCTAAATAATAAACCCTTCTCTTCTAAGCATTCCCAAAAGGATTCTGTATTTTCTACAGTTTTCATACACATTCTTTTTCAAGAATCAACTTGTAAAAAATAAAATACCAAAAAAAGCCCACACACTCGCTGAAAACAAGAATCAAGACCGTCTAATTCGATTGCTGTCCCTCGCTATAACACAGCTTTATTTTTTATTCTCTTAATTTTTCTTCCTTCAAGATGCGTATGTCACTTGCTCTCACCGGCCTTGCTGCCGTGGCCGTCAACGCCAGCTGCAAGGGAAGATCCGCTGCTACTGCCACCGGATCCTCTTCTGCCGCCTCCACCGGAACATCCTCCGGTTCTCTCTCATATGGCAATGGCACCCTCGCCAGTGGCGCTGCCGCCCACGATGCCGCCCCCAGCAGCGTCTCCTCTTCCTCGGCTGCCGCTGCCGCCACGAGCGCCTCCTCGTCGAGCGTCAAGACCAGCAGCAAGGCTGCCACCAGCGCTGCCAACTCTGGTATCAAGGGTTTCAACTATGGTGCCTTCTTCCTCAACCAGCAGGCCCTGACCCAGACCGACTTCGAGGCCGAGTTCAACCGTGCCCAGAACCTGCCTGGCACCAGCGGCTGGAACAGTGCCCGTCTCTACACCATGAGTATGTCTTGTCCAACTCCTTTCCTGTCTCGGCGTCACCACTAACAACCTGCACAGTTGAATGGGGCACTGCCAACAGCGTCATCCCTGCCATCCCGGCTGCCATTGCCACTCAGACCACTCTTCTGCTGGGTCTCTGGATCTCTGGCGGTGATGCCGCCATTACCAATGAGCTGGCCGCTCTCGAGTCCGCCATTGCCACCTACGGCACCGCCTTTACGGACCTGGTCGTCGGTATCTCGGTCGGCAGCGAGGACCTGTACCGTGACGCCAACAACGAGGTCGGCACCACCGCCACCTACCTGATGGACTGCATCTCCAAGGTGCGCAGCGCCATTGCCGACACCGCTCTGTCGGCCGTCCCCGTCGGCCACGTCGACACGTACGACTCCTTCCTCAACTCGACCAACACGGCCGTCATTGACGCCATTGACTGGATCGGTTTCGACGGTTACCCCTACTGGGAGACCGCTCTGCCCAACAGCATCGACGACGCTAATGAGCGCTTCTACTCGGGCTACAACAAGACCATGGCCCTCGCCAACGGCAAGCCCGTCTACGTGACCGAGACTGGTTGGCCCACCACTGGTGACGACCAGAACCTTGCCGTTGCCAGCGCTGAGAATGCCCGCAAGTACTGGCAGACCATTGCCTGCTCTCTGGTCGACAGCAACATCAACATCTGGTGGTACAACCTGCAGGAGTCCCAGTACGGCACTGCCACGCCTGACTTTGGTGTTTACGGTGCTGGTGACCTGTCTCAGCTCGATCCTCTGTACGATCTTTCCTGCTAAGCGACTCGCTTTCGGGCTTCCATTTTTTGGTTCAATTTAGCGATAGGACGGTTGGCATCATCACCTTTGGATCTGGCACATAGAGAGGCGTAAAAGCTGTTTTGTACATATGTACTTAGAGAATTTGTAATTTACAGGCTACCATGTCCTGATCGCCGAATTGCTCATCCACTCGTTTAGTGCATGTTCTCTTGTGATTATAAATTTGTCAGTTTTGGAAACGTCTCCCTCCTGCTCAACCATGTTAGCCGTCTTGAAAAAGCAAGTCTGCACAGTCAAACTCAACTATCAGGTAGTTAGAGGACGAATGTTGTCAGACTGATTGATATGTAATCGGGCTGTCGTGCCGTATTCATGAAGCTACCCTCAATGGCTGGATACCGGCACTGCAGAAGGTCATGACTTAGCAAATGTTCGTATTCGTTATTTTGAGTTTGATACTTATCGAAAGAGAAAGAAACAGGCACTTGGAAATTGGAAATTGGAAATTGGTGAGGCCTCGAAAACTTACTTCCATTCTCAGCCACCTTCTTGCCGCTTCGAGCGTCAAATGTCGCAAGGCTGAACGCTTCAAAGTCGTTTTTATCCTCAAAATCTGCTTCATTGAGGTTTATACCGGCCAGTACTCCTGCACCCACCTTTGGCCATGCCGCCGGAATGTCCTCGGACCTCTCTCGGTCTGTTTGGCCCTGGTTTCCATTTGTTGTGGGAGTGTCTACCACGGGGGCTATGGGTTTGAAGTGGATTGGCCCTGGGCTTCCGGGTAGCGGTGCGGCTTTTGCTGATGCTGGGGGGCGCCCTCGTCTTGGTCCGTTGGCCTCGGGGAAGACTGGGAGATCGGGGTGAAGTTCAAGGCTGTACATGACCAAGTTCACCAATTGGCTCTGCGGAAGCCCTGACAAATATGCTCGTTTCTGAAAAGGTCAGTATAAAGCCATTCCGGGTGAGCCCACAAAGAGTCTCAAACTCACTTGCTCAACGGTTTTCGAAGGCCAGCTCACGCCTTTGTGCCCCTCGACTCTCTTCTTCTTGGCGAGATGTTTTTCCCTCTTCGCTGAGCAGCCTCGACAGAACCATGATCGAGCTTCGTCACTAACGAAATCATCGTCAATGTAGGGGTCGTGGCACATCTGGTGCCAGCATAGGTTACAGCCATCACAAAAGACAATTTGATTATTGATTGGGCTGAGTCCACGCGTGCACACTTTGCAGAGTGCTTGTTCTGCTGTTCGCTTGCCGTAGTGTTTTCTCTTTCCCGCTCCTGCTGCTGTTGTTGGATTGAACTGGTTCGGCTTTAGGATTTGGCGGCCAGATTTTGTCATTGTAGGCGTTGCATCATGGTACTCCTCTTCCTCTTCAGTCTCTGGTGGCTCGCTGAGCGGTGAAGATCCCCCATCATCGTCTTTACCAACACGTTTACGCTTAGTACCGCTGCTTGGCAACTTTCCCTTCTTCTCGACCTTTTCTTGTCTCTCCGCCTTTGCCGTCTTTGGGGGTCGTCCTCTTGGCTTTGGACCAGGTTTGGATGCAGGTCTTGCAACTATCTCTTTGACCTCTATTTTAGGCAATACAAGTGAAGGGACTGCACGCGGTGGTGAAACTTGTGCGGAATCTGGCATTGGAAGAGATATTGATGTGTTCATGCTCATAACAAGGCGCCTCTTAGCATCCTCAAAAGATGTCTTATTGATTGTCCCGGCTGCTGATGCGGAAGAAATTGCGGAGCTCAAATTGTTAGGCTCGCCTCGGATTCTCTTCAGGATCATCTCAGTTGTCGCGGAGAACTGCGGCGTGTAGTGAGGTCTGGTATGGGAGGCCGATCCGGCGGGCGAGCTCTCAGCTCCGGTGGACGGCCTTATCTCCTCCCTCGCTAGCGACTCCTGGGCAGCCATCGCCGCAGGATCCTCTCGTCCGTCCTTTTCATCTGCGGCCATGGTGTCTGCTAGTGCGAGCTGTTACCATTGGCTGGGGAAGCTATTCGGTGTTAGTTGAGCGAGCTTCCAGGTCAGCATTCCGGGACTCGCGTAGATTTACCAGGACTGCAGTACGGTCGCAATTGATGGCCGAGCGTTTGTATTTGTATATTATTGCGAATAGATCATCACCAAATTGGAAATGGCACGACCAGGAGAATTGTGCGAGGTTGGCGTTTGCAACACGTGACGCTCACGTGATTCTATCCCAAAGCTCCACCGCATCGTTGCTTCCCCAAAGTGAAACTTCACTTACACACTGCCGCTCAAATGTCTTTAAACCGCTACCGGCGCCTTTTATTGTTGGAGTCTAGACACTGCAAGACGAATAGAGATCTTTTTCCATTCTTGTCATAAATTGGACTTTGCGTTTACTCTGGCATTCGAATAATAATCGAGACCTAAATTTGTAGCAGTCAGTATTAGGCTTAACACTTCAAGTTTTTACGACTCAACTTCTATAGCAGCAATTTCCCTAAACTAATATGCCAAGGTCTTGTGGGATTGTTGATCTTTCGACATGATCAATTATATAGATATAACTGTCTTCCTGAGGAGATGCAGATATAAACTGCAGGAATCTAAATCACTCAGTCGTCATAAATGTACAGCATTTCCTTATTGCCACGATGATAGTGTAATATGAACTATTTAACACTAAATGTATTTGTATCTCGCCAGAATCATCATGCAAGTAACGGCTACTAACAGACATTTTGCGCCTTACTTTTGTGCAGATACCTAATTTTTCTGCTTGTTTGCAGGCCATCATACGCCGCTTGCGTTGCGGGCAGCTCCAAACCATTGTAGACAAAGGACAATAACTTAGATTTATCTAAGCTCCAACTGGGACAACAGGCGTTGGGATGCTCAGAAGATCGCTATAGAAACAAAGGAAATGATGTTGGTGACTGTTGGGCGATCTCCGCAAATCCTTGATCCATCGGTCCCACGGTCTGGCGAGCTCACAAGATTCATAAGGCAGTATTCACTGCGAGTAAGGGAAAGTCATGAAAACGACTGTTTTCGGGGAAATTCTTCTAGACTTCCCTTTTTGTTTCCTCTTGAAACTTGTTCAGACGAAGACATTTTTACTAACTCGACCACGCGCTCTCCTCGAAGCCCCTTTTCAATGAGTGGCAGCTGGCTTTCCATATTTCTGAATGTTTGGCCACTAGTCTCAATCATTGCTTTGCTTCGGAGTGGCATTACTATTGATACTCAGATATTCAGCGCTTTCGAATTCTACACAGACAATCCTGATATTTAGCCGCACCCCACGTTTGTCGGGATCGGTCTTACGCGCGAGAAGATGTTTAACAAAGGGCAATGGACTACATGGAAGTCTATAGTCGTATATGCGGCTTCAAGGACAAATAGCAAGGCCAACTTTATACTCATTGCTCCTGGTCTATGAAAACTCGAATGCGTAGCATGATCTTGTCGCCATTCATTGCTTGGCAATGGTGCCTATTTATCTTTATTATCCTTCAACTGTGGCATACACTTGTAACTGCTTATAAACTCGCAATTACACATCTAGGTCAACTCATTGCCTATACGTGGACATTGATACGAAGCACCCATGACCAGAGACTAGCAATGCAACTTGATGCCATTATGATCAAACGATCTAAAGGATGTTGACCTCAGGAATTCAACTTCGGAAGGCTCAAAAATCGCGATAACACACAAACAAATCGCCTATCCATGTGGTTACGAATAAGTAAGCAGTGTACAGTCACTAGTATGTAGCTCAATGACGCACTAATGCCGAGGGCCTTGTATGATTCGCTGGTTGCATTGCTAAGCCAAAGTTTGTCATATTTAGAAATCTGCACCGCAGTAAACATTGACGATGGGGTTAGCCGCCGCCTCGCTGTGTTTCTGCTAGGCCACGAGGAAACGTGTTGCAACACCACAGCCAATGTATGCATAGGTGCTTGCATTACTTACTTAGGTAAGTAGCTAGTGACGACATGCATATCGGTTAATGTGAGGACAATTTGTGCACTCAACGGCTGCGCCAATTCTTGTTTGGTGGAGGGGAGGGGGTAAGTCATGGCAAGTACCTACGCCTGCTACGGTCTGTACAGTCTTGGCCCACCAAAGCGCGCATACATTGTACACTGCACAATCCATCCCTCTGAGGATCAAAGACTCTGTCAGGAAAGGACAAGCAATTCGAGCAAAAAGATATTCTCAAACGAGGGATGGAATAAAAACGGACTGCATGGCTTTGGCCAGGACCGACTGGTCCGGCTACCGATCCGCTCGCCGCTTTCAAGCGAGAATGGCTGATTTGGGCACCATTGCATCATTGGATGAAAGAAGCCCCTGGGAGTGCATGCTAAACACTAGAAACGTACAGGACGCATGCGTAGGCCGCGGGGTGTGCATAACCGGGTAAGACTCTTGCAGGCAGACCTACGTACTGTGTGTAAGGTCTAGGTAATGAGCAGGAATCAATTGCCCTGGCAAAAGCCCTCATTGATCAGCGTAAAGGTTGGAAGCCTACAGAACAATACGATGATGATGATGGTTGCTGATGGTGCCGAGGATCTGAAATGATGATGCGGTGGATGGGCAAAGCGCCTTGACGTCTTTAGCACACGGATTGGTGGATGCTAGCCACCTTATCCTCTGAGGGGCTTTTCTAGGTTTTCTGCTTGGATGGGCGAGTCCAGCCCAGCTGATGAATGGGCAGTGATCGACGGTTATGGTGCGGGTGAGACGATTTTGGGAGGTGCACCTTGTAGCAGTGTTTGTCAGCCAAGAAAATCCTGCCGTCAGTTCAGGGCCAAACGACCGACACTGTTTGAGCGGCCAAAGGAGTCACCGAGTTGAGGAGCGAGAGAGAAAAAGTGTATGTACACTCCAGAGTACCCAGGGCCCAGAGCCTGCAAATGCCCCATGGTCCCGTCCCGTACCAGTCGTCAGGATTCCCCAATTCCAGTGATCGCAGACGCGCCTCAGAAACGCTACTGCAAGCACTTTAGAGTCTTTTCGCGCTGTGGCCCCTTCCCATCACTGTGTCGCAACCATATCTTGCCACAAGAGCAGTGCAGGGTGGATGATCTGGAAGGGAATCTGACTCCCTTGTGACGCATTTCAAACCACAGCCGTGTTTCTAAGAAGCTGTGCGCCACCCACTGAGATTCCTCATGAAGTGAAGCAGCCTGAATGTTTTGTGCCATTAACCATACTTGTATATAGTTAGTTGTTGGTTAGAATTAGCGGATAGAGAGAAAGAAAAAGAGAAAACAAAAAAGAAAAGGTTTACATGGCTCTAGCCTGACCCGCGAGTAACCAATTCAGTGGAATCACTCACCCCAAGGCCGAGACGTGAATAACACTTTTACTAGACAACTTTTTGTAAGAGTGATCGATGGTTATAGCTTGGGCTGATCCATCCTGGTGGGAAGCCCATACGCTATTATGGAGTGGACGCCGGTTTGGCCGGCTCCGTATGGGCGGAATCCTGCGATACTCACTATTGTACCGTACCGCTGACTTTTTTTTTTGTTCTTTGTTTTGTCCAGACCGTATTGTGTAGGATAATCTAGGTACTCTGCCATGATGAGAACAGCCGTGTCTCTTGCGGCCATTTCCGTTGCTGTGCGGCGTCCACCCACCATGTCGTGACTGAGTCAAGCACCATCACCCACTCAATGGCATGGCTGCTTCACTGGTTATCATGCTGACGGCAGCATTTGAAGCCCTACTTGGGGCTATGAGTCTACAATCAAACCCTGCCTGCGACGTCGCTCATTCGCGGCCTGTGCCAATACTTTATTACGTGTTGCCGCCAACCAGAGATAGTCGGACGATTCATCACAAGCAGTAGAGCTTTGCTCGAGTGTGGTTCGTCGGAGTATGAACCGGAAGCTAACCACCAATTCCAGGAAGCGCCGCAAGTTCTAGAGAACACTTGACTGGACCGAAAAAGCAGGTGCCTGGATTGGCTGCAAGTCAGTCTCTTTCAATGGTACTTTGGTCTTTCAAAGATGCCACGGGAGTGGTGAACTGCCTAGTCATAGATGCAGAGCAATGGAGTCCTCGTGTGAGGGGCAACTGGTAACCCCGTCCATCTTCTTGGTTGTTATAGAAAGCTTGTTTATGGCGCAGGTCTCGTGATCTCTGGCGCATGGCAGTGAGCGATGGCGGTGTGTATGAGGAGGCAAATGCTTGCAGGCGTTCCCCGCAAGGAGCCGTTTAGACAGGCTACTATTGCGATTGGCACCGAGAATGACCGTGGTAGGCGTGTGATGAAAGACGCCACGGCCGCCAGTGTGGTGAATAGTTTCTCATTGCTCTTTGAGGCGGTGATATAACATGTACAGTGAGCCACAGTGAACACGTACTCATGTCAGATGTCACATGTGAGTAAACATAATCTGCCGCCAAAACCCATCGACTCAAATCTCAGCAATGACTGCTACCTAACAGTACCTACCAAGCAACCAATTGTAAATAAGGTGAGGCAAATGGCCCTCTTTGCTCAAGCTATTCAAGGGTTTTTTTTTTTTTTTTTTTTTTTTTTTTAGAGAGAGGCCACCAAGCCGGAGTAAGAGTCATAATGCGAGAATGAATGGTACGACTCCAAGCTCTAGGCGGCATTGCTCAAGTGCAAGACAGACCGGCAAGTTACCAATTGTAGTATGTTTACCCCTCAACTGAATATGCATTTGGTCGGCTTGATTCCATGCCGCCAACGGCAGCAATGCAGGTCTTGTCTTGATCCGGTGAAACGAAGCAGAGGCATTTATTTTCCAGAACGCTTGAGTAGCATGTCAAGCGGGGCCTCGAACATTTCGCCTTCTCGGGACGTAGGAACAGTTGCACGAGGGTGACGCGGATGCGAGAGCCGATATGTGTAGGTCAATACGTACGTCGATACTGTGATATTCTATGTGCTGCAAGACCTCGTGGGGGGTTTGATGGTGCTGTCCGGAACTTGC